ATCTTTTAAATAATTTTTATAACGTTTTTTAATTTTAATTATTATTTATATAACTTTTCAATTTATTATTAATTTTAGAAATTGTTATATTATTTATTATAAGATTATTTATTTTATCTCTAGTTATCTTTTTATATTATATAATATTTATTTAATTTATATATTATAAAAGATATTTAATATTATATTATTATTCTTACAATCACTGCAGCAAAAGGTGAGGATTTCTTTCTTATAATTTTATAAGTTTTAATTCAAATTTTCATTCTTTTTTATCATATATATTTGATGAATCTTTATTTTGAACTTTACTTTCACAATCAGTTGGTTAAAACCTCATTCCTCGCCCAATCGAGAATCGAATCTCACATCTGAGAATGAGGAATAAGATGGATATACTCACTACCCACCAGCCATCGCCAACTTCAGCGTCAAAACGCAACTTGAGGAAGGTGAATGGCTTGAATGAGCAGTCTAGATAAATTCTTATCAAGAAATTGAATATGATCTTAGGAGATGAAAGTGGGTAAGATGAAGCGACTATGACTTTTTTGTTCAACTGTTTACTATTTTTTAAGGTTGACTTAAAACTTCGCAGGATAAACGGTTGGTTGAGGAAAACTGTTTAACTCATCTCGTATATTATCAACGCCGTGATATCCCCAGGTCCCTGTATAGATCGAAGCCTTGATATCTATCAAAAAAGATATTTTGAAAGTATGCTCGAGTAGATAGTTATATGACTTAATACGCGGAATTTTCGAGTCTTACATTGAGCCTCAGCAATAACAACACATACAGACAAATATCTTCGAATAAACTTCAAAACTCCACATACAATATCTCCATTTCGCAAATCATAGAGGCTTTGACTAGTAATAAGCCATATCTCTCTTACACAATTCATTTCTACGCATTGAATTAGACCTTATGTTTAGAACAATACAACGCTAAGCCAGCGCAAAGTTACTGCTTGAACGTCCCGTTTGAGTCTAGACTTTCGATTCTTCTGATGATGGTTGGAAGATATTATTGATGAGTTTCCATTGCTTCGTATAAATCATAATCCCAAAAGTTCGGTACAAGAGTGAAAAATCCCTTCTAGATGATGAGCTTACCCCTGATTTCTCGCTTGCGCTGTTTGGGGGAAAAGTTCCAGTTGATTTTTCGAATATAGGTTAGATTCGCCAACCTCGCTTGCTGGATATTTTTACAGCATCTACAGGTTTAATATACAGTATGATACAATTAATTGATTTACGGTTTATCTCCAGTGATAGAAGTCTTTTACTCTACACATTGATGGGATAGGTTTATGCCTGTATCCAAATATCTAAGCAGTACTCTTCATGATTAGATCAAACAAAATGTCAAAAACACCGATTCCCATCCCGATCAGAATAAATCTTCACTGGCCCTGCTCAAAACTTTTACCCTGTTTCCCTCCTCTTTTTTTTTTCATCTCTTCAGAAAATACAACAAATTTTCAAAAATATCCACTGATCCCTTTAATACGGTGGTAATCCTAATAGCACTCTTTATTCTAGCCTTAATTTATGTTCAAAACTTGATATGCATAACATATATCCTTAAGTTATTGAAATCTCAAGCTAATCTGCTTTAATAAAAAAATTCAACCTGATGTATAGGGAGTTGAGAAGGTATTTTGCTAGCTTGCTAAGCCATATCAGAAAGGATTTTGAGGCAGTGGGGGAAATGAAGTTAGAGATGACGGGCGGAATGCAAGAATTCCTGTATGATTAGCCTAGTTTGAGAGGAGTTTGAATGGTGAGTTAGGAAGGCTAGGTATTCTTGAATTTTCTATGACTTGTTTAGATCCAGAAAGAAGATTAGTGTATGAGTATATAAATGGCTCACTTTTATTCATACCCGTTGCCCGCAGTTTAATAGCTAGTCCGTCTATCATCCTTTTGCATTTACTATCTCACTTTGGCAACAAGGATCACAATGACGAATGATTTTATTAACTATGCCATCACGCCTACTGTTAAGTGTCGTAAGTAGACTACTCACCACCAAGCCAACCACTTCTAATCATGGAAGCCCCTTTACATACTTAACCATATATATATGTAAGCCACATACAACAAATATTGCCCCTAATATCCGCGAAATTACTAATCTTCCTCCTTGCTCACATGAATATATTCCAGCAGTCGCTTATGTATCAACTTAAACATAACGTAATGAGTCATCACATTTTTTATGTGATGAATAAATGAGGATTTGATAGTGAGCCAATGAGTTGCGGCTGTGGTTGCAATAGTGATGGAAAAGACATAAGAGTTAGAGTTATGTAAACTAACAGTCCTTTTCGCCGTATTCAATTGATTGCTCTATTGGTTTTAGTTGAACATGTTAGCCGTTTGTCAGTACTAGTCCGCATGATTATGTTTGGAAAGACAGAGGCCAGTATTCTAAATACCATTGTATCACTTTCTATGACTACTTCCTATTTTTGCCTCTTCGCATCAAATGCATCTTTTTATATTGGTTCTTTTAGTTGAAAAGACTTACATATTGGTGAAAATGATTTTTGAAATGATTTTACAGGAATAAATATATTTACTTTTGTGCCGATACATTGTCCAGTGGATAATAATTATCTCGCTTAAATATCCTACCCCCTGTAATTTATAGACTTCAATTATTCACTCCAGCTTGCGAGTCAATAAATGTATTCGTTTATTTAACTATCATATATACATTTATGACCGGTGTATTTCAATTTGCCTAGTACCGAAATCACTCCCCTCTATCTCAACATCGAAGTCAGAGTCACTCCCCTCTATCTCAACATCGAAGTCAGAGTCACTCCCCTCTATCTCAACATCGAAGTCAGAGTCTCTTCTGCTTATATTCATACTCCTGGGAATTTTTCTCTCCTATCCACCTGTTGATACTACTTGTCCGCCTTGATTTCCCTTGTACAGGCACAACCACCTTTCTTTACTCTATGCACCATACTAATTTTGCTCATAGTCCTAACATTAAGCTCTTCTAACGCAAGTATTGAGCACACTCATCCGGCTCATAATAGCCAAAATCTCTGATAACGAACCGTCCTGGCTCAAATTTCCAGCATCTATCCCGTCACTAAATTATCTCAGTCATGAACTTAACCTTTCTTTTCACTCATTTTTGGTGAATCCATTTACCCAATCGAGACTATACCCCACCAAGCACACATATATGGGCCATTTACACCCCGATACCGGGTCACTCCCTCCCGCAAAAGGTTATCCGGCGTCTGGCTATAAAATGACCCCTCCATTCTGTTTATTCACTGTCCTTAAACTTCGAGGCCTGGAGTCAAAAATCAAGATTTTTCCTAGCACTTTGGGCTTAGATAAAAGTATGAGAGGGCCTCATGTTGTGCACTGAATGATGAGGCTCTCGCATTCATATCCGCCGACTCACCTACCTCGTGGGCCACATAAACACCATCCACGAACTCCAAGAAATTACTATGAGTCTGCGCTCCCTCAACCCCTTCCATCACAGCCTCTTAAATATCTGCGAAGCTCGGCATATCAACTACGAACACAGCGTCATCCTCTTTGAATTTCTATGCGAGTTAAGGAAATCATAGAGAACTTGATTTCATTCGAAGTTATGAATCAAAAATTCTGATAAGCGAGGCTGTTTCCCCTGAGGTGAGCTGATGTTGAGTTTTCTTTCCGAATGCTATGATGATCTTACTTTGGAGCTTAGCACTAGGTTCAAAACCTAGCTCTTAGATCTTCCTAACCTTAGTAGATGTAACCCCTCCATAGCTACCATTTCAAGCTTCCTTACGATGGTGCTGTTGTTAATAGTAAGTTTTTGATTGTCCTCCCATCTTCATTCGCTCAGTCGACTCCTCTCAAAATATCTCATGATCAAGTTCGAGACCAGCCTCGCCTGAAATCTCCCAGCCGTATCTATTATCCAATCATCTATTTCGCCTTGTTAATACTCATCCGATAGAATCCGAGAAATAAATATGACATAGCTAATCTCTTGGCTCCACAAATTCCTTGTTCATAATTTCCCGAGAATGTTTCATCTTCTTCCTCACCACGATAACAGTAATAATAACAATATTTGCACGACCTAGCAACACCATAACCTTCTTTTTCAAGAGCTATAATCTACAGTTTTGATCTACTTCTTCCTATGTTTGGGGTGTTTTTTTAATCTCAATTGTTTTCTGGGCGAGCAAAGGAGTTACCTTTTTATTTTTTTGTTTTTACAAGTCCTTTTCAACCAAAACAACTCCGAATTTGCAATACTTCCCAACTTATAAGATATCGAGAATTTCCCTTGTTTGCCTCCTGCTGTGCAGATGGCATTGGAACTGAACAGTACCTAATACAACTTTACTCTCCCTTTGCTTTTTCTTCTTGTAGGTATTACTTTCCCTTGTTGTCCATCCATGAAGCTCAAAACTCTCATTGCCTTGGAGTATCTTGTCCAGACAACTTCAACAGGATTTGCATGAGAACTTGGCTAATACTCACTTCAAAAAAAACATTAGAACCTTTCAGTTCGCTACTGTTTTGCTTTCAAATTGCTCTCTATCTATTGTTCATTGCTCGATCCTGTAAGTATTGAAGCGCAAAAGATGTCAAGAAATTGATCTCTTAAACCAGATACTTTCAAGGTTGGAGTAATCCGTGTCAATCTTACTTCAACATTGACCGAAAGATATTACCTACAAGGAAGAAGGCAACTCAATTAGTCAAATAGTATGCGTGGCTTCGTTTACTTTTTTGTATGTTCAAATCCTTCCTCTCCTTCATCCTTTTCCAGAAGTTTAAGATGCTATAATAACTTCCAAAGTCTTATCAATATCTTCAAAAATGTTGCTACTCCAACAAATTCGTTATCGTACATTGACTAATTAATAGCTAATGAATTTTCACAGCTTAAATACAATACAATCACAACAAGATTCAATTTCTATTTGCTCACTTGAACAAGACACAAAGAATTTCAGATTCATGCTACAGCATTCACTGCTTTTCAGACATAATTGTAAATTTGAACAAGAATCTCAGTTATTCTCATTACTTTGCTAATTAGATGAATTGAATAGGTCACTAAACCAGATAAGCACAAGAGATAATTATCTATTTCACTTAGCCCCCAAATAAGGGTGCTCGAACAGACACGTTAAACGATAATTCATCCAAATCCTCAATCATATCTGTGCCTCGCAACTATGACTACTGTCAAGCCAATTGTTGAGGAACGTCAACATCACTCATGGGGTTTGTTGGTACAAGGACGCCCTGCTACGCCCTCTGAAGGAAGAGCTCAGGTAAGCAACTTCAAAGCCAGGATACAAATTCAAACAATAACAAGATTATAGCAATATACCAGGATTGGATGTAAGGACACGCAATCCCTTATTACCCATAACAATGGAACTTGCTTGGAATTTGGCCCTTGGGTACGCACCTCTTTCGTGGATCTTGCTCTTGCACATGAGCTAATAATTTCTTAGGACTTAGTTGATGAATTTGATGAAAGCAAACCCTTTTATCAGCAAGTACTCCTTATAGATACTACTATCAAGGATATCCAATCAGTTCGAATCCGCCACAATGATCAAGTTGGTGATGAGGTCGACGTTTTCAAGGGCTTTAGGACCATTCCATACACAGGAGAGATTCATCAACATGTTTACCCGAACGGTGAAACATATACTCAGGTACCGAGTTACTATGCCAATGTTTCGAATACGGCCTCGATGTACTCAACCACCAACAAATCCGACGTTATTGGCGAGGCACATCCTGGTCTTTCATCGGACACCAGATTTGGCGTTCTAGTACCAAATCAAAGCCAAAATCAAGGACGTGGTGGCAATTCGTATCGAGGCAATGATCGACAAAACGGCCGAAGCAACCAACACTATGGCGAGCGAGGAGGATATACCCAACATCTAAATCGTCGTGGAAGACGTGACATGCACTTTGGACGTGGACAAGGACGCGGTGAGGGGCGTGGTGATGGCCGTGGACATGTACGTGGAAGTGCACGCGGTGGGAGACATTTCGAGAAAGGTGGCAACCATCACAATACTAGCAGCACACAAAACGGAAATCATCAGCGTCGGGAGGATGATTACGATGAGGGACGCTGGTGGGGCCAACCTGCACCTCGGGAGATCCTAGATGGCTACAAAGAAGAAGCTGATCGCAGCTATTCTGGCTACGATGAAGATGGAAGTCAGAATTCCAGTTACAAATCTTACCACCAGGACGATGATACGTACTGGGGACCAAATGGAGAGGGATTTCCTCACCTCACGCCGACCCACGGACAGCAAGCACCAACCTATCCTGGGCTTGAAGAGACGTATCCTCTAATTCTACCACCTAACGCCGTATTAATGTCCTATAACGGATCCATCAATTCATATGCTCATCCAGTTCCTATCGAAGGAAACCAATATGGATTCCCCAACTTCTACCAATCAATGCAGAGAAGAATTCCATTTCGTGACTACACAAGCAGTGGTGTGGTTTGCTCGGCGGAACTGGAAATGGAAAGCCATGTTGGTGGCCATTCTCCTTATTTCATACCTGGTCATGATATTGGGGTCGATGTTTCGATGGGGTCAGATAATGGTCGTGAGGCGACTAATCCACGTCCTCGAGTGGTGTTACCTCTCACTACTCCAGGCGGCCAAACATACATCGGCTCTTCGGACGGGCATGAGGGGCAATTGCGCGCAAACGTGTATCCCCCAACGCCATTTGGACCTTCTGCAAGCCGTTCTCCCATGAGAACTACCACGAGTGAAGGTTCCCCAGTGATGCGCCCTCGTCGTCACGCAACTGATGCAAACATGTCATTCACCCCTTTGACACATGCACGTACAACATCAGGATCAGGTACAGATTTACGTCGATTGGCGACGGGTAATTCTGGATTTGCAATTGCTGAGCCAAGAAGTTCGCCAGGCGCCAGTGTATTCTCTCCAAGATCAGCCTCCCCACGCCATGCAAATATGGACGCGATCACAGCCAGAAGCTCGCCTGGTTTATCATTTTCAAATCCGAGTGCGGTCGGTGGCCCTATGACAAGAAATGCATCTTCTCATGAGCTCAAATACGCTGGATATTCAATCGCAGGGCAATCCGTCCCATCATTGGGTTTGGTCTCACGTACTTCAACTCCACTCGCCAATTCCAGTCGTCGCTGGTTTGAATCCAGACAATTTGTTCCAGACGGGAGCAGATTGTCATCCCCTGGTATCGCTAGTCCTGGTCAGAACAGTCGCATCTGGGTAGAATCTAGGTCCGAAGATGGACAAATGTGATCGGCGAGAAACGTGAAGACAAACAAGGACAAAAACGTGTGAGGACAGTCGAGAAATGTGGAGGAGCGACGTGTTTTGACAATAAGGTATTAGGTTTCATTTTAATATGGTTATGATGGGTTCGTGAACAGAGATTACTTGAATGTTTAGTCGAGGAGTCTTGTAGTCGGGTTAATTCTTCTCTGTTCTTCGATCTCTTTCTCCAAACGGTGTAATGGCATAGGGGAGATGGTATCCGGAGAGTTAGATAGTGAGAGTCTTGACAGCTTGATTTCAACATCGACTGTTTACTCATTCATTCGTCAGCTAATAGTTATTCTTGACTTTTAAGGGCGGTTTAGTCGCAGCTACTAATAGAATGCTTCTTCTAAGTTGGTGATTCTGATTTCAACTCTTGTACTTGTGAATGATGAACAAGTATCTTTGTAAATGATGTCGTCGAGATTGATTAATAAGCAAAATTCTTATCCTCATCCTTATCGAAGCTCCAAGCTTCAAAACTTTAAGCTTCCAAAAAGTGGCAGGCAACAGCTTCAATTATTCGAAATGCGGTTTAAGACTTCCGTGCGGAATATTCACACTTTCAGCAGTGAGTATCATTCTTTTGTCTCTATCAAAATAGTCTCACACTTACAAATTTTCAGAACTCACAGCTTCATTGTCATCACTTGGCAAAGTAGCTTGGGTACGCCTGGACGACAATGGGGTACGATTCACAATTATTCCTGAGACAGGAACACAAGTATGGGCGTGAGTGATGCATTATTACAGTTTGAATTGAAATGCTAATCCAGTAAAGGTCTCTCTCAATTGACTCTATATTCGAAGATTACACAATTCAATCCGCGGCTCCAGATAACACGATCAACATAGAGTTACCCCTCCCACCCCTCCATCGCGCTTTAAAGTCCGCAATAAATGCGTCATCTGCTTCGATACGACTCACCAAACGAGATGGAATGCCAGTATTATCCCTTACAGTTATTACAAATACTATGATGCATGGAAAAAGTGCAAACTTTCTTGGTGGTGAAGGTGGAGCAGCAGATCCATTCAACGAAGGGTTCCGCGAAGAAAGTCTTGATGCGGATATGAGAAGGGATAGAGAAGCAATTGTTACTCAGGATATTCAGATACGTATTTTGACCGCAGATAGTGTAGAAGGGATACACGAGCCAAGGGTTAGAGATCCGGATGCGCATATTATGCTACCCTCTCTGATACAGTTGAAAGCTATCTCGGAACGTTTTACGAAGCTTGCAATGGCCACGGCATCTGGTGGGACGAGAGTAGTCACTGGAGGAAATATACCGAAGTTGGAGTTGAGCGCAAATATGCATGGTAGTTTGAGATTGAGTATTGCTACGGATGCACTGGATATCTCAAGTGTATGGACAGGGCTCAATAATCCGGAATTGGATCCAAGGCAAATGGAGGATGGAGAAGATGAAATTGAAAATCATCCAGCAACCAGACTCAAAGCTGCTGGCCCAGATGCTTGGTCAACTGTTAGAATAGATGGAAGAGACTGGGGAAGGGTACTTAGTGTGGGAAGACTTGGTGGAAGAGTAATTGCTTGTGAGTATTTCCCGTTCCTAGCTTCATGGTTCATACTGATGATTTTAGGTTTCGTCAATGATCATGCATTGATATTATATGTATACCTTGACAACTATGATGAAGGTGATGAGTCTGTCTTAACGGTATGCCCTATATTATTCATTAGCCATTAGCATTCACGTTCTAATGTTTCCTAGTACTACATCTCTTCTTTCAGTGCATAGATCACCAAAAAAGACTCGGGAAATATTGTTTTAGCGATGGCGTTTGGGTTGATACCACATTTACATTGAGCATCTGTGTAACAAGGATCCGAAATTTTCCAGGATATAGCTTTATGAACATTGATATAACCTGTAGCTTTAATACCCGTTCGGCTAGACCATATTCGTAACCTCCAGACTCCATTCTTACACTTCTCCTCGGCCGTTTCCGCTCCAAATTTGCGGCGAACCTCTCACCCCCCCCACCCAATTTCGCTGTCTCCGCCTCACTCCTTTGTGCAGGAGTCCGCGAGTACCCCCTCCCCCTCATATCCATGAACCTTCCCGAGAAAAAACATTTCAAGTTCGTCTGATACAACAGAAAAGCGTACCCATCATTCATCCCAGATCGCCCAGAATCATAACCATATCAGTGCTAGCACTTCAATCCACCGTCTGTCTCGTTATCTGATCACTGTGTAGTTTATTACGTGCTTGTGATGATGGAAAGAGTTGGTTAGTTGGCTTGAAATATCGAGATTGTTCAAAATATCTTTGGGAGAGTGTGATGTATTTTGTGTCTCTCTGGAATGTTCTTCTTGAGTATTTTATACAAATTTTATGATGTAAAAGAGTGGTATTGTTAGTCACGCTTAGGGTTTTTGTATTAAGAGTCTGGGAGTTTACTTAGTTTGTTTTAGTGATCTTTATTGAAATTTTTTTGGTGATTCTTCTGTAAATATACTTAATGTCTCTTCTATTTGTAAATCCAGTACTTTACTTTCTGACCACCCCTTATTCCGATTATCTTTTCACATCAAAAATTATTATTTTCATTTATTAATATTTCAATAATTAATAAATAAAATCAATTAAAATTTGGTAAAATGATCATTTCTATTGTTATTTTGATTAACGACGAACAGCTGTGTACGATTACTGGATATATACTTCGTAAGTAGTCAAACTTCATTAGTAGTTTGGTCTTTAATCATATGGATGATAATAAAAGTTCTATGAGTTCACAATCCCCAGCTCGACTGGTCGTATCAATCGCACTATCATGAGATGGGGCCAGTGAAAGACGTTTTTGATGGACTCATCCATTTTGAATTTCTAATTCAAGGGAGCCAATAAACCCTCTACATGGTGCGTGCTAAAAGCCCAGGAGATGGAAGATTCAAGACCAGGTGAAATATCCTGCCTCGATCACGTATGTTACAAATTTCAACAAAACGGGAAGGATACAAATCATTCCCATCAGCCTTTATCCCATCAATGAAGCCTGCCTTTGGCTTGATTTATCTACCACTAATATCTTATCGCAATGCGTGATATCTGTATCTATTTTAAACTGCAAAACATACATCTTTAGACCGACTAAGAATCATTAGCTGAGGTCATTGGCGTCGAGGAGCTAGTATCTATAGTATTAGCAGCAAATAACCTGTACTGAAAACAACTTGGTTATGAGAAACTTGATCTTGTGCGAGTGACTGGTCGAATGTTCGTTAAAGCCTGTGGTGCCATCACACAGAGATTTGGCGCAATCTATCATGCAAAGAAGACGAATTTCTCGACTATTTAAAGACGAAGAACCCTTTTGTTCAAGACGTTGAACTGTTATGAGCCTAACTTGTAAGGCACACACTTTGCGCATAGTTTACAGGATCATACCTAACCTAAAAGAGAGTATCCCCTCTATAAGAACAATAAGATCTCGTACCTAGAACTCTTTCAGCGTTTCGAGGAATCAATTCTCAGTTTAGACCAGAAGTATGTATATCTAGTGTGAGTTGTAAGTTAGTTTTTTTGAGATCATATATTGGGATAAAAAGGGGTTACAATTAAAGTTCTCATGTCTTCGCTTAAGCACTGAATACATTGGCTCGGTTGATAAAGATGTCATTTTAGACGAAGGGAAATTAAACATGCTTGATGGGTGGCTAGAAGAATTTCGTAAGTTACTCAGATAATTGGCGTGTAAATCGCTATCGGAATAACGAGGCATCCATCGATCTTAAAGGAATATCACAAGCTCTAGTAATTGATGCCAAGGCTCAGTTCTCTCGTGGATAAAAGCATCTAATTTGTGACTTTCATTTTCTATATTCGTGTCTCCTAATATAAGAATCCTGGCTGATTCTCAATAATCATCTAATTACAATGCCGGGGCTCATTTGTGCTCGCTTAAACCATGTATAAATGAGTGTTTCTTGAATCCCCCCTGGAACAATCACAAAACAATGCAAAAAAGACCAATCCAAAGAGATTTGACATGCTCTATAGACCTGACGAAATACGGTCACAAAAATACGGTGATATAGCTAAATAGTCCTGCCGCCAAGTCAGATGCATTCTTTACATATAATTCTGTTGCTGTCTCGATCTCTAGCTTTTTCTTCCCCACTGATATGCTAGACTAATCACAAATGGAGTGACCCTTGCACAATTGTATCATAAAAGAATTGAAAAAGAGAAACAGCCTGTATGTAATTCTTCCAAAAAATGATAAGAGGATTCATGCTGCTACTATACCAATGTCGTTCATATAATTATAGTTGCATTCCTACTATTTCACTAGTGAGGATGGATAGAGATACAAATTAACCCTAACTATAGAAATAGATATTCTATATTTTTTTTCTGTAGTTTGGAAAACTCCCTAGTACATGGCTGAATTTCAAAGATATAAATATTCGAAAAAAATTTATAATTTATTTTTAATAATTTTTCAATTTTGTATATAAATTCTATACAAATTGAAAATTCAAAAATTTAACTTTTTAGATTTTAAACAAATCGATAATAAAAAATCTAAAATTTTCAAGATTAATTGATAATTATATAATAAATTTATAATTGAAATTTCAATTGATTTTATTTTATTAATTATTGAAATATTAATAAATGAAAATGATAATTTTTGATGTGGAAAGATGATCGGAATTAGGGGTAGTCGGAAAGTAGGGTACTGGACTTATTTTTGAATAGGACTGTGTCTAAAGAAGATGACTAAAACCAAATAGACTTGTAAATAAGTCAATGGACACTCAAATCTAGGCGCTCCTCCTCCCCGTCTAATTTTCGAAGCTTAGAAATATCATAAATCTGCCCCTTTTTTTTCTATCTTCACTCTCGACTTCAGACTGAACTCTTCCTTCACTTACCAACTGACTACGCCCTCGCATAACTAATTATCCATCATTATTCAAGATTAATGCAGAGCTGCTTACTACATCAACTTTGCACGGGTCGTACGGCTGTTTCAGTACGCTCCCTGAGGTTATTGATGTAGAAACTCGCGCTCAACAGCAATGATTCAGTAACAGGCGTACGCTCGCGCATAACAATAGAAGCAACGGTTTCAAGACACCCACCGTATACTGAGCTTCATTGTATCATGAGCCACAGATCTTCTTGAAACGCGCACTAGGTACTGCCGTCGTCTATCCAGCCAGGATATACCGCGCACAACAATGGCTACAATGCCATTGTGAAAACCGTAGATGTTAACCGTGTAAATTTGTAATTACCTGAGTTAAGTACAGCCTCATTAGCGTACCTCTTGTATAATTTCACCAATACTTAAATACATCTCTCCCCCCCTCCCGGCCATCCTCTTGAAAAAAACATCAACAGGTTTCTACTAAAATTCAAAAGCTTCCTCAAGACATCTTGATATCCAAACACATATCTTCAAAAAACTTTAATAGAGGCCTTCACAACCATCAGCTCTCTTCTACTCTTTGCATTTTCAATAATTTTAAAGTCCTTGTCAAAAACAACAAAGCTCCTTCGACCAACCATAAGATGTCACAGCCAGGATTCTTTGACGACATGGCATCAGGCACGGAACTCTTTCTGAGTGGTGACGTTGATCAATCATGGTTTCAACCCGATGAAGACTATGGGGATTTAGGAACATCCTCCTACGATGAGACACCTCCAAAAAGTCCTCTTTTCACACCTGCACCCTCCAGAGAAGGAACCCGCACTCCAACTACAGAGCTCTCTCGTACTGTATTAGGAGACGCCAATTTCTCTCAGTTGCGACCAATATCTGAGGAAGAACATACTCAGAACAATACCGAACCTAGCTCTGAAAAGCCCTCCGAAGACTCACAAAAACTGGATTCTCAGCGCCAATGTGATAGTGAAGCCAATGACACCAATGAAAGATCTGTCCCGACGACATCTGATCCCAAGCAACAACAGGACATTCTTTACTCGGGCTATTGCAATCTTTTCGGTGAAGATAGCTCTGATGAGGATGAGTTGCCAGAATCTGACGAACGTCAACTCAGCGGTGAAACAAACACCAATGATGAACAACCTGCTCCTGCGACCTCTGAAGACAACGTAGATGACGACATCGACTTCGATGACCATGGTTCTATCTTTGGTGGATCTTCATCTAATACTCGAGAAAAGAATGCAGAGAAGATCACCGATGATGATATCGACAACGACCCCTTGTTTGGAGGATCCGATGATTCTGGCCTGGGTACTGAGGATGATAGCTGTGAATCTACTCTAGATACTGCAAATTGCAAGAGTTTCAAAAATAAGAACCTTGCTCCCGCTCCTGTTGCTACTGCCTTGGAGCCATTTAGACTCCACCTCCCCGAACCCCCACGTGCGAATGCTTCAAACGAGGGGCTTCACTTACCAGATCGCCCTGATACGAATGCTTCACAACAGAGACTACACCTACCAGATCACCTAGGTACCAGCGCAACAGAAGTGGCTGCAGATAACGACTTTGAAGCAGATTTCGCACGAGAGATGGAAAATTATGACGCCACAAAAGATAACGACGGGACCACGCTCAATCTTCCCAGCACCCCAGATGTGGACATTCAACAACCTGCAGTCAATGCCTGTGTCCAAGAACAAAATAATGTCGGCCAAAAAGAATCGAATGTTCCATCAAAATCACCCAACGTCGAGAGTGGTCGAAGACAAGAAGGTGCTGATACAACTGCCAAAATGGGTCTTCCTCAGGCTCGTGGTCGTGGCCGTGCGGCTGGACCAATCACAAAACTTTCTGGGCCACCACCGTCTGTATTCCAACCTCTTGAATCTGACTCGCCATCTGAGGAGGGCAAATCGTCGACGCGTCGGAAGGCTTCGCATTTCGCATGGGCATTCTCAGACCACGTTGGCTTTGGTAAACCTGGTCCTGGCAATAAGTACAGAAATCATAATTCAGCGCAGAACCCAATACTCGTTGCTGACGATTCAGACACGGCTGAGGAGACTAATAAGGAAGTCAATAGTCAATCACAGGATGTCGACCGCTCTGTCACAAAAGTTCCAGATGCCATTGATCTCGCAAGCGGCAATGGGGATGGATCACCGGTGGATAGTGATAAAGACAACCGCATTCATGGGGTAGATGGAAAAAATCATTTCGAAGACTTCGTAGATGGCCAGAGTTTTGCTCAAGACTATCAGAGCTTTTCTACTCCTGCGCAAAATCACTTGGCGCCCACGAATAATCCCATTCGACAGACTCCGCAGGTACAGCCTGTTTCAAAATACCATCCACAAGTCCCAGCCAACGCACCATTTTCGGCTCCTCAAAATGAAGCTCCTCATCAACCTCAAATTCGGGAACATTCAATGGCTGAGACGCCAAACGAGGTCATTTACCCCACTAATCCCAGCTATTCGAATTTTGAACTACGATTTTCTCACGCCAGCGGGAATTTTTTGAGCTCTCCTTCGAATTATTCGTCGCCATATAGTCAGCCCATTCAACAGAATCCAGATGTACAGCCACTTCAGTATTCCTATCCCGAAGTTGAAAATAATTTGACCTTCCCGAGTTCTGATGACCCGTATCCTCAGCTTCCTGTATTTGAGGAGGGGTATGGCTTGCAAAACTCTCCCATGGATCAAATAGCTTTGTTCCCAAGTCATGGTCACTTGAACCAAATGATTGACGAATATGACGACGGCCTCAGCGATGGAGCAAGTGATGGCGAGGAGGAAAGCTCGGCTAGTGGAATCAGAAATATTCAGAACAACGGAAACAGTGCACAAACGAGTCCCCGGAAGGGTAAACCACGACCATGCGAGACTCGCGCCGAATATGGCTACCATAGACCATGGATGAGATACGATGAGTACAAGTATCTCTTCCCTTTGGCTGGGCCACGTTTGTGCTTTGAAAATGCGATTGCGAAGCAAGCGGAAGAGGATGCGGCATTGACAGCCAGAGGAGAGGTCATCCCTTTAAGACAACCCCTCACAAGGCACATCAAGATTTCTCACGAGAGACTCGATGCACTTAATCAGTAAGTAGAATGCTCACTTTTCCAAGTTTTTACCTGACCATAAATGAATGATGAATATTTTGCTGACTTAAACTTTCTAGACTCCGTCTCTCAAAGGGTGAAGAGCCATTCAAGCCGAAACTTTCAGGCGTGAAATATCCATCAGTTTTCCTCGACGCAAAAAGAAGAAGGATTGAAGAAGAGCAAGCAGAGTCCTCTGACTACGAGAGGCGAGAAATGGAACCAGATGCAAAGCGCCCAAAACTCGCCGCAGGACCGATTCAAAATGATGCACCCATAAATGGCAATCCGACGATGTTACAGCAAGATCCTTATGCGATGGGGAAGCGCCAGCGTCACTATTTGGCATACCGAGTACCAGAGCTGAGGGAGAAATGCAAAGCTCTGAAACTTAGCACCCTAGGATTGAAAGGCGTTTTAGTACAACGATTGGTGGACCACGATGTTAACAGCCGTCCTGCTATAGCAAGCAATAGCCAGCAAAAAAATCAGTCTCAAAATAGATGGGGAGTTCGTCATGATCAGCCAATGCCTGATGTTGGTCCCATGAATGGAATGCAGGCCCCTCCCATTGGTACGAATTATGGTCGGCAACAGCATCAAGGTCAGGGTGGCCGGGGAGTCCATCAGGGTCAGCCAGTGCCTTATGTAGGTCCAGTGCATGGAATGGGACCATCAAATAACTACCGCCAAAATCCACCAACCATGCAGTACCCTCCAGCAACAGGATATCGAGCACCTCGCATGAAATCGCTTAGGTATGGAAATGTAAATCAGGAACCATGGAATGGTGGTCGTGGTGGATCTCCAAATAATCATTATACACCTCCAGCCCATGGTGCGAGCGCCAGACAGGAATCAATGAATGCTGGCCTTGGTGGATATGGTGCTTTCCAGCAGCCGATGAATTATGGTAGCAACAGATACACCCATGGAAGTTTACAACAACCATATTCCGCGGGCTACCAAGAAAACGCTAGTGGTCGTCCCCAATATTCAGCGCAGGGCTTAGCTGGTGGACCGATGCATAACCCGCGTCATAGAATATATGGCACTAGCATGCGACAACGACCAATTACCAATGGCAATGGCAATGCATATGCTAACAGGGCTATGGGTACGACCTTTGAACACATGTCCAGTATGAATCCCGATCAGAACAACATCAATCAAACGATATCAAACTCGTTGGATTCTGATGCCATGAACTGGCAAGCTGGTATGCAAATGGGTCTAGGTGGTATGAACTGGAATGGTAGCACTCAACCATTCTAGCAAGGACTTCTCATGGTGGGCCTCAAGGATCATCTAGCTAGGATGGAGTTGTTAGCGAATAGTAGAACAGTTGAACAACTTGCTATTATTTCGAATCTGGATAGAGGGAGATCGCATAGGAAATGCTCTTGAGTGTTATTCGATTGGGATCGATTGTTGATATGGTGGATGATGATGGATATGGGTGTGAGCTCGATGGAGAATAGGCTTTATGATTTCAGGCTGTCTGAATATTTCTTTTTTGTGATTAGTTTGTTAGGTGAATGATACCCTAGGGCATTTATTGAGTTTAGGATTGTGTGGAAAGATATACCCCGGACTGCATTGGTGTTTGGGTGACGGATCAGAAGGATTCCTTTTTTTATTATCAGGGAATGGATACCAAGCAAGGTGGACAAGTTGTGGCTTGTAGGTAGCAATTGATAACAAATGAATGAATAACAATACCATTTTATACATACTGCAGTGTAATTTGTTCCGTGATTTCATTTCTGTGAGTAATCGATATCTTGCTGATGATTTGAGGTAGCGATAATCCTTGAGGGGTAAGTAGTATTGTATTCAAATTGTTGTAAAGGATGAAGCCTCTTTTTGTCTTGTGAACTAATAACGAGAAAGTGAATTAGCCTATTGATCTGAATAATTATCTTGGTAAATATTACGCCAAATGCATACCAAAAGTCAAGTTTCTTTAGACTTTTTCATATAATACATAATGATCAACCCTTCTCCTCATAATCTCAAATTGCCATGTAAACTTTCCAAAGACAATTTTTGACATTGAGCTCTGTTGAGCTTACCTTTCAACTTGATATCAAAGATTTTCCCCTGTTGTCTCTCTAACTCTTTATGCTTCTATATTAATGCATTATGGTGTATAGATTGAAAAAGTACATCCATGATGAATCAGTGCGGTACATAGATACCTTTTGCTTTGTGAGAGCAAAAAAAAGACCATCAAGTGATTATTGACACCAAGGTTGTGAGGAATTTAAAAGTTATTGGATGGATCACACAGCTTTAATACATACCTACTAAAAGCTAAAGAGGGAAGGAAGAAAGGAGGAACTGAGGCACCTCAAAATCTCCCCACTTCGATTAAGATTCACACGATTGCTCCTCAATTGTGCTTTCCCAAAGATCAAACTTTTTGGCTCCTCAAGTAAATTATTGATTTAAAGCTCCTTATATAGAAGTGAAGTACGGGACTTAAATGCGTCACGTGCTGTATTTAAGATTAATTTTTGAACTGAAGCTTCAGGTACTGCCTCTTTCTTCACAGCAACATTCGAGTGGAGCTTGTAGCGAAGATTTCGCTAAATAATTTCAGAAATCTTGTAGCAGGAGCTTGGAATTATTGGGAAACTGATCACATATCAATTAGACTAGTTAGAATCTGGGTGGGGTATAGTCTCATATCCTCTTTCGTGGAAACGGGAGGATTTCATGACACTGAACTGTAATCTAATGATGGAAATATACTAAAATTAGCTATTCTTGTAAATTTGCTTCGAAAATTTTCTACTTGTTTCTCTTATAAGTTGGTCTCCTTTACTTTGAAACATTTTGAATTCTCATAATACCATCCATTCTCAGAACTATTCCTCATCCAACCCAGGAACCCACCGACAAGACGATCATTTTCCAATATCCTCAGCTTGACTTGACTATCAAATACTACCCTACAGTGCTTTACAGCATCTGATTCATATAATTCATACCATATATCAGTGAGCTCCACACAACGTTCGTAATCTCCTTTTCTGGCAATCTGAATATCAGGTTGAAAATGAAAGATATGAATATTGGCCTGACGAGGCTCAGAAATTAATCTAAGTCGAGGTCGGTGTATCAAAGAGATAATTAATCGCAGGCAGAAACGGAATGAAATAAACTGGTAGAGAGTTTTTCGCTGAAGCCGAGGGAAAGTTTATTGGAGGTAGGTAGTAGTTACAGATAAGGAACAACAAGGGAAAAAAGGGAACAATATCTCCACACATCTTTTCTGCTCAACCTCTCCTCATCTTCCCTCCAAGGTCCTAGAATTCTTGTCTATAAGAAAATAATTCTACTGTATGGTCCTGTGATAAACAGGTGATGAAGTATTTCCACCATTCAGACAATAGAAACTATCTATTATCCACCGTAGGCTACGTACGCTTTCACCTCATTATACTGATACTCTAAGTCTCACACTTGTAGACTCGTTCCGTCCACCAAATATCTAGAAAATGATGTGGCCCGAATGCAGCATAGAGAGAATAAGAATAACAACAATAGTAAAGAATGTTGACATACAAAGGAACTCGAAAATAACGAACAAGAGAACCCGAACAAAAGCAGGAACAACACCAAAAGCCATCCGACCTCTCCCTATGAGAAACCTGAGGAATGAATCAACTACAAAATCCAGAGATTTCAAATGCGCGGTCGCATGATTACAATAGGAAGATTCTTTCTTGATTTCACAATTTTGCTTTCGAGATGATTTTGAGCTTTCAAAGCATCCGGAGAGGCCCCTTCATTTTCATCTCGACAGACTGTCACAGAACTGTCCGAGGGGATGAAAGATTCGCTTTTCATTCTACCGATATATTTTTTCTCTCTCGCCATCCTTCGTCAGTTTATTCACTAGTGCGGATACATAATATGCTGAGCTCATTACTAAACAATTATACGCATAAAAGTACTACTTCATACGAACCAAAAAGCAATACTAACCCCGCGCTCTCACCTCCCCACAGTTTCTCAAAAGCTCGGTCGTATAATTTATCCTCACCTATCCAAGACCTGAGCTGGGCTTACTTCTCGAGATCTATCAACCCAATATTATATTACGAGAAGGCACAACAACCTCACTCCATACTCCATCTCTCATCAAGACACTTCGATTCCCAAATTCACATTTTCTGTTCAGATCTTCCGCTAAATCATCAGTCACCAAATGATGACTTAACATCCGATCAACAAGAAGCTAAGCTTCACATCGCAGCTATCCATCGGCTCATCATGACTCGTGTGCATAAATAATATGCAAGCACCCACCATCCCACGCATCAGGATAGAAACCACGCAGCACCAAAAGCGCCTCAGTGAAGATCTTCTCTGGGATGAAATGGGCAGGGCAGGCAATAAAAAGCAATAGACCGTACTGGTCCAAATACGACGTTTGAAAAGTTACTCAGCACCGTTGACAGACAGCAGCTGATATACGCACGGCCCAGCGATTCTTTCTTTCCTCTTTCTATCTTCAACGTCTCAAAGTAATATTATAGTAAATGAAGCATAAAGCACATCTCTATCTCTATCTAAAGCTAGGTAGGTACTGAATAAATAACCGCTGATCCTCTAAATAAAAGGAAAAAAAAAAGAAAGGAAAGAAACGGGACCGGGACTCCGCATAAACAACACGCACAAATCCAAGCGCGTCACAATATTAAATCCAAAACTTTTGGTAGGTTAAATGAAACATGTACAGTGCAGAAACAAGCACAAGCATAAGTATAAACATAAGACATGAGCATATAAACACGTGAACCAAACCAAAGATGTAAAATGAACCGCATGCATGCACATGGAAATACACAAGGGATTCAAGCGCATATTCAACGAATTAACAGAACAGACATGACAGATAGGACCACCAGACTTTGTACGAGGTGAGCTGCAAACTGGCATATCGCGTAAGCTTTAATGCAAATTTCGAATTTCATATGCATCCCTTGCCCTTGTGTGAATCATTACGTGAAATATGCGTGGGTGCGGCACAGTAGGTAAAGTGATGGATGATAGCGTCGTGGACATGGTATGGATTTTTACTAGCTTGATGCGCGGGCGGTTGGGGGAGGTGAGAAAGGAATAGGGAAAGTGTGAGAGGTTACCGACTGACTGGTTCGCTTTTCGCTTCGCTTCCGTTCTGTTTGTTGTCGAAGCTGAAAAATTGGTTCTGGGCTAGAATTTAGTGGCTTGGGTTTGCTGATGTGTGGATGTATGAATCTAGGTATGAATTTGTGTTTTCGACTGTATCTAGAAATAATTTTCCTACCGACCATGTGCTATATATAATGTGTACACGGTGAATATGAATATATTAGTCAGCTAGGTTCATCCCGCTCGTTTGACTCCGCAAACTCCCGTCCCCATATGCATTCCCCAGGTTTTCAACATTTAAACCCAATCTCGAACTACCTACCTAGTTCCTCCTTTCCCTAATTAAAACCGTCTCATCTCACAACCTAATGTACAACCACGCAACGCTCAACCTATCACCTGATCACACACTCATGCAGAAAAGCAAGACATTTTCGCCCGAAAAATCGGAATCGGGAAATCGGAGCTGAATATTAACTAGCCTATCTATCCATTTGTGGTGTATGCAATGTACGACTCTTGGCACCCCAGAATAATACCTGGGGTTCATGGAACGGATACAGATATGTGACAACAGCTAGTAAGAGCCAGAAATTAAAGAGTTTGTACGAGTCTTGGCACGGCTTTCGGTCTTGTGTAACATTTACCTAGTCCAGCTGCGTGTAACCTAACCGATCCATTTTCTGTCTAGAAGGAGACCACTAGGACGTGTGTAACATTAAGTTTAGATGTCATTAATGCATATGGATCATATGGAAAAAGTATCTTTCAGTGTTTCCTGGGTATGCATGCATATCATATCATCTTTTTGCCCTACATATGCGCGCAGTAGCTAGCTGCTGCAACGATTCAAAAACGTGGCAGCCCGATATCTGACATTTACGTACCTAGTATATACTAAGCTTTAATCCTTCAAAGCTGTCCATCTGTCCAAGAACCTTAAAACGCCATCTTCTAGAAAATCAGCTGATTTTGATTTATTATCCTCCCTCTCCTTCATTTCAAAGATGATGGATTGATTCATGTGATATTTTTACGAACCGCCTCGAAAGGCTCGAATCTCCGCGGTTTAATTATTCGAGTTTAGTTTTGTTTGTTTTTTTGTTTAAGACTATGGCATTTTGGTTAATGTTTTTGGAGAGTTTTTTATAGTTTGTTAAGGTTATCAAATGCCTGATAGGATATGTATGGGTAACCTTAAATGGTCGTTAACGTTATATGTGGCGAAGGGTAAGGATGAGGGGTCAAGGAGGGGTGGAATGATCAAAGTATCGTCGGGATCACGGGAGGACTTTTGAAGTATAGTATACTCCGTATGTGTATGTGCAGGGAAGACGTTTGGAGTGGAATATAAGACTTACATTTGGCGGCAAGATGAAGAATCAAACGTGTGGGTGGGATGGAGAGTATGGTTACACAGGATTTAACCTAACCTATTTATGGTTACAAATTTGTGAAGCTTGATGGAGATTTATGGAGATTTATGAAATATTATACTCTGTACAATGCGAAAGTGGTAAATTATACGACGAATGAGTTGATGATATCTGATATCTCGAGGATAGAAACACAAATGAAGGGGTTTACAACATCCAACTACGTCCAACTCCATTCGCCAATTCCCACTTGACTGTCAAGAACCGTTAGACATCAAATTCTCTCCACATCAACGTCGACACCATCACTCTCGTCTATCAACGTTTCATTCCCGAACTTCACCCCAAATATCGTTCAAACAGGCATAATGTCTCAACACCTCATTCGGCATTCGGTGCTCACAAACATTCACATTCGCTTGTTACTTCCTCATCTGCCCCTCAACCGAGTCCTCATTACAAGTTTACAAAGCTCTTACCAAGCAATTAATCTAATCTAGACTCTTTCTCCACGGCCCCAAAAAACTGTGATATATGAAATACGTAGCCGCAGGGCACTTTGAAGATCAAGGCTTAAATGAACAGTGTAAAGATCGACATTTTGGACTTCACGCCACAAGACATACGGAGTATAGCAATCAAGAACCCTTGGCCGGCTGATGAATTTTCAACTTGCATTGGTGCATGGCCACTGCATGGAGACAAAAGTTTACAATACGCCACCTTCGGTGAAATATTTAGGGCCCGCGTGAAGCGAGAGTCGAAGTCGTGATCTGCTCGTTTGTAGATTCTGTGGAGCTTTGAGGAGGCATGAACGAATAATCAAACAAGCATTAACCATCAAACGTTCGTCAAAAGAGGCTATTGCTAGGATATGTGACCGGCGAGATTTGACAGTAGTCTCTTTGTGGGTTGACTGGTGGACATGTGGAGATCTGGAAAGATCATGGGCTACGCAGTGCGCGCGGAGAATGAGTCTCGCGGATAGAGAAATCGGAGAGCAAGCATGATCCCTCAACATCTTCGCAATGCAAGGTCGTTCGGGGTAAGTAAACTTATCAAAGAACCTTCAATAGTCAGTGGGGTGGGAGTTTGATGGAATTCTGGTACCCTGGGGGGGTTTTGGTAGGTCCGGTGTTCGTACCTTTCGGACGAAGGTTCTACGGAGGAGTGCTGGTTGAAGGTAAGAGACGAAAGAATTTATCAAAAATTTCGCAAGGGAAAGCGTTTTGAATTATATGAGTTTCAAGCGGATAGCCAGATGGAGGCCTTAGAGCAAGGGGTTGGGCTCAAAGGTCATGGCTTTTAAGGCGGAATTCATGATTCTCGAGTAAGAAGGAGAAAGGAAAAAGGTGGGGAGCAAGGACATCGTTTTGACATGCGCGCGTAAGCTCGCGGCTTGAGGTTTGTGGTCTCGATTTGAAGATCTAGTCGATGAAGGAGGGCGACAGACGTAAAGTAAGAGCACGACGTTGGTGTGAACACCTAGGCACTGTAGTGAACTGTAACAGTTTTACTACATTCCTCGAATCTAGCGGTGAACAATTCCCCTTCTCGAATTTATGGAAATTTTCATATTTCATAGAGCGGAGATCCTCCAATATTCGTATTTCATGTACCCCTCTTGCAAACGAATATTCTAGTCAGGGCCAGTGTCCCATAGTATGTGGATAAACAATCAATATACGGAGTCCTTTAGATTTTAGTGCGCGCGTCAATGGATCCATAAATGTTGGTGATGAACTCTGATGACTAACCTCCGTAGTTGATGAATATACCCCTGAAAGGAACGCTAAAGATCCGGTGATCGGAGACCCTGAAAAGGCGCTTATGCAGGTATGTATGTATTTATCTGCTGTGGCTTAATACGTACATCAATAACTAAGTAAGTAAGGAGTTAATAGGGCAGATGTTAAGTTGTGCTAGGTTACTCTGTATTATTGATAAAGATGAAGAGGGGGAGGCAGGTGCAATGATCACGAAATGAGGTATTGTTTGGTATGCAATATTAGATGGATAGTAAGATCTTAGATCTCATCGTACCCGGCGGTTCAGAGAATGCAAAGATGAGACTTTCTCTCACAAAGCCGAACCAAAGTTTGAAAACTTCTGGATTGTTTTTGTCCAGATTTCCCTTTCGTGATGAGGTTGGGAGGGAATTGCGAACGGAAAAATCAAACATACTTGAATGGATATGTATCACATTTATTAGTGGAGAGAGAAACCGGTACTTGGTCCGTGGTATCGGGATTTTACTAGAAAATGAATCGTTATGATACGATATGTTGATTAGAACCGGCGAACGGTCAGTATAGTCTCTCCTTCTCCTCGTTTTAAGAAGAATTCGGATCAAAGGGTCCTTTTCTTGCGAAGGGTCTTTCTTGTAAAGGGTCTCGTACCGCATTGAACTGGCGGTGGAAGATTTCGAAGAAATTTTTATTGTTTTGATAACTTTGAATCAGATGATTTGACAGGCGAATATGTTGTGGTTGGTTCTCTCTCATCTTGAAGCCGAGATAATCTGATGGCTTTGAGTTGACACCAATGCTACACAAATATGCAAGGAGAACTGCATCATCTTACATTTTTAATTTCGTAATGAATTTTTACTTCTCTTTTGTACGGAGTACCACGGAGTACACATCCTCGAACATATTGTGTCGTATATCTGAGACGGGGTAACGAGTGTTATTGACAATTCACAGAACATAGCTTGATATCATATTCCAATTCAGAATCTCCATCTTCTGCAATCTCAAGCATCTGGTTTTTACCAAATATGATCAAAAGGTAATGAAGTTATACAACATATCAAAAGCATTGATAGCAGGCTTAATATGCGGGACGGGATGTGGATCACACACACCCTTAGCATACGATATGGATTAAACAAACGGAATCTCTGAGGTGGTTGAGTCGCTCCCTGGCAAAGGGCTATGATGAAGGACCCAATAAGGAGCATCTGCAATGGTTAAAAACAAACAGGCAAAATAAGATGTAGGGTTGCTGTCTTATTGGAGATTGCCAACGAAAATGATGAAGAAGAAATATCTGTGCGAGAGAACCAAATTGAAGATATTCTAAGATGGATAGAATAATAAAGTAAATAGAATATAGACAGCCACTATATCAGGAACCCATTAATACCGTTCGTTAACCATGTCATGGCTCGTACCTGTGCCTATCCCTAGTCTTCCATAACGCCTCGCTTGTTGTCTAATACCTTACTTTTTATACATCTACAGTAGGTACCTAGGTAGCTTCCAACCCCTTCATCGTTCCCGCTCAAATATTCCTCAATGTTCATCTGTAATTTCTCACCCCCTGTTAAATTCCCTAAATTCTCCTTTTTTTAATCACTACTAATTGGGTTATGTACTGCGGAGACGAAATACGTTGTACGGGAATACGTCGTCTGTATATAACATGACAGCGAGAGAATTGATCAAATTTTAACTTAATTTGGCTTGACATATTTTACCCGCAAAAACTAAAATGAGATGGGATTAGGAAGGGTTCCCTTCTCTGTCCCCTTGTCCCAGGAACATTATTATTTTGTTTGCAGTGGAGTCAATTGGCATGAGTGGGTGGATTAGGGTGGATTAGGGTGGATCCAAAGAAGTGGAGAAGATTAAGAGGCTTCGAATTCACTTGGCAGCGAGTTAAGTTGGATTTTTGGTGCATGAAGTAAGTCTCTGGACTCCGGGACAGACAGATACCAAGACGAACTCACAATCAACCAAGGCTACACGAGGAAGGAACTGCGCTCATCGCAAGGCTTCCTTTTCTTCTTCTAGATAGATATATGCCCTCGATTGCACCCTTTCAAAAAAATCTATCCGTAGATTCTTTTTGGGAAAAGGAACGAAGAAGGCTTATCGCACGCACGTCGCACATCACACATCACACATCACACATCAACACCCTCTCTCATTATTCATGCACGACTGCAACTAGAAATTCATCTCACGATCCACTTCGTTCTGGATTTCAATTCCGTCAGCCTAGCCTACCTGTCTACCTATCTACCGGTCTGTCTGTCTCCGTACACTTCCTTTCGACTAGATTAAATGTGAACGATTCGATCTTTCAAATCAAAAAGAAGGGATTTATTAGAACCGACAGAGAAAGAGAGAGAGGAAGAAGATAGAAGGAAGAAATCAATACAATCATAATTTATCATTTACCTACCTACCTACCTACCTACCTACGTTTTCAAGAAGGATTCACTCAACACATCTACCCGGAACAACTTCCAATATATTCCATTCCAATCCCAATTCTAATTCGAACTCGAAGTTTCATTCTTATTCTTCCTTCTCAGTACGACACAATACCGGGACTTTTCGATAAGAGATCCTAAAACTTTATGCGAATTCAATACTACGACACCCAACATAATCAGAGACGGGTACTACAGAACCACAACCTTCCTTCGACTCAAATTCGAATTTTTAATCCTTCTTTACCACGAGGAATAATACTACCTCAATTTCGATAATTCTTCAAAGACCTTCTACAATAACATGTTTTAATACGACTTTAATACTAATTTCTCAGACTTTGCCTTAACTTTTGTCGCATCCGGCCATTCCTTCGAAATTCTACTCCTAGTTACATTCAACTCTTCAAAACTACCTATCCCAATCCAAATATGATTTTGATGGAAGGATTAATGCTGGTACCACCTGAAAGGGGTACAATTATTGGAAGAGCAGTATGGAAGGTAAATATATTTTCTAGAGCATTCATCTGCCATTCTATTCCGATTGTTTGTCTGACAAAATTTCCATCATTTCAATAGCCTCGATATGTTGTCCTTGGATCCGGGGCACATCTACAAACACAAACCGAACTCCTCGAAAAATCAAATTCAAAAAAGGGAAAATCAATCAAATCGGCGTCTACAAAACCAAGCTTGGTGGATTTGGGAAAGGGATCAGAAGGATTATTCATTTCGATCTACAAGGCAAAGGTATAGTTTAGACTTGTTCCCTTTTTCATCTGCCTATAATGGCAAGCTCCAAACCCTTCATAGCTCGCCGCATTCGCTATTCTAAAAGATATCACAAGCGCTCTTGTAGTGTGTCCTCGCGGCAGCGGATTCTGGAGCTAGCGGATCATCACTCAGTGGAAAAAATGAGGGGCACAAAGGTTCTAACTTGACTATCAATAGGGCGATTGGGAATACATTGCGCAACACCCAATATCTTCTTTTAAATCCTGCGAAATTCGTGCATTAACACATCGAAAACAAGCTACACCATTGCCCACGCTTGTATTGGAATTCAAACCAGATTCGATATCAGAAAAGCAACGAAAGAGAAGATCAAGTCGAACAGGGGGGTTAACTTCAAACAGGGATTCGCAATGGCTGGATACACTTCTATTTCGATCAGTTCCTGAGGATCGCAACAATATTTATGATTGGCAAATTACTATCAAACCAAGATTGCAAATTGATGATAATGAAGAGAGTCCAATGAGTCCTTTAAGTCCGATATTCACATCTTTCACCAATCCATTTTCACCAAGAGATCCAAGACCTTCATCTCGAAATGGTAGACAAGATCAACAAACTCGCCCACTTTTCCAATCCTCGGGACCATGCGCTCAAACCTCAAGAGATCGTCCCACGGCATTAATATCTCCTTCTCCTAGTCTTCGTTCCCATCGCTCCGACATTTCTTCTCAAGCAAGTTCATCTCATCCATTAACAGGCTTCACATCAGCCCATCCACAGCCCATCAATACAAATTTGCCAACGGATCTACCCTCCCCTGTTTCTGTGTCTGGTTATGATAATTTTATCGAAGGATGGACCACTGCGCAAGGAAGATCATCGGCACTATCTCATCATACTAGAGGAAGTAATAGTATTGCTTCCGCTATTGCACCTCCACTTACTTCACCTATCACAACATCACCAGGACCAAGAGAAACAATTTTGGATAGAGCATTTCAAATGAGATGTATACCTGGAAGTGAAAGATTGAAAGATGAAGAGGAGAAAGTTAGTAGTATTGCTCGATTTGAAGCATTAATGAGAGAACAAGATGAAAGGTTATTGCAAAAATCAGCGACTGAGAGGGATGGAAGATATAGACCTGGTTGGGAACTCGAGGAAGAATCTGAGGAATCTGATAATGATGATCCTGCTAATGTTTTAGAACAATTGGATAGGCATGATATACTTATGCCTACTCCTGCACAACGAGCATTGGATTATATCGCTGGACGACAGACTCCCTTACCTAGGACGAGTAGCTCTAGTTCAAGACCTATGTCACCTAATAGTCCACCGGTTCCTTCCCTAAATCGAGATGCTATGAATGCTCTTCATAGTGGTTCAAGCTCAACCAACCAAAGTTTCTGTTCGCTTGGAAATTCCCTTCGCCCACGTACTGGAACAACCTCATCACATATGCGTAAAAATAGCCGACCATCGTCTTTCGCATTACCATCAAGATCTATTTCTACAAATGCCGTACCGTCTTCAAATGATAGTGGAAGTGGAAGTTCTGGCTTGGCTCCTAGCAAAGCTGAAAAGGATAAGAGAAGAAGTAGTACATCTACGAAACGACTTTCTTTTCAGGAATTCGCGAGGAGATTAAGTTCAACTAGTTCACTTCTTTTGGTTCAAACAAATGCTAGTTCGAATTCTGGAAGAGGTGATAGTTTCAGGGAAAAAGATGATTCTAGACGAGGAAGCGTTAGTGATTATGGTCTGGAAAGTCCTCCGGAACTTGCAGAGGAAGATGATATGGATGGAAGAAGGGGATTGAGAAGTAATAATGGGTCAAGTTTGAGAGGTGGAGATGTTCAGGGTGCGGATCGGGACGTGAAGAGGTGCGGTGGGGGATTTAGGGGTATGGGTGTTTTTGGTGGAGAAGGAGGATTCCTCTAATTCTAATAAGAGGCAGGGAAGGCAGAGGAAGGCAGAGGAAGATTGCATATTTGCTTTGAGCGTCTTTTCCTTTCATTTCTTGTTTTTTTCTTTTTTAAAGCGATGATACCTTAGATGACTTTTTTTTCTTACGGTTTTACTTAAGGTTTCGGACCTATAGTTTTAGTTTTTCGGAACACAGCCGAGGCGAGATGATTGAGATGAAGATCATGGGATGGCGTTCTTCTGTGGCTTCTTCAATCTCCAATCTTTCTTAGGGGAATGAAATTTTTGAAGGATTTCTTCTCGGGGTGAAGATGATCAATCGATTGATCTTCTGGTGGTTTGGAAAAAAAAACATAGTGTACGATGGTTGCATTGGATCGGTAGGAGAATGCACACATAATATGGCTTTTTATGTATTTATGTATGATTACCCTTCAGATGGATTGCCACTTTTTCATCGAATGGGATTAGGGATAGGGATAGGGATGTCTATGGTTTGGATAAGACTTTGGGAGGAATGGTCGGAAAATTGGGGGAAGAAGAAAGGGGGAGCGGGGGATGCGTGGTTGGGTGGATGAGGGAATCATAGATAGGATTGGATACTATAGGATAGGAAGAGAGTACTTATAGTTAGAGTATTGATATGATTACCTGTATTGGTTTTTTGGGGTTGTTTTGTGTCTGTATTGTTCATGTTCATGTTGATATTGATATTGATATTGACGTTGATACCGATCCTAACGCTCATATTTACTATACATACAATACAACAACAACTAACGCAGTATTTTTTACCCAGCGACGGCAGGGGTTCTTCTATACGTCGATATATTAATATATATATATATATAAATTTTGAATTTGTTCCCTTATATATATATACATTAATATTCCTCAAGGCTCTATCTAGTTCATCGGTTCGTGGATTCGTGGATTCGTCGAAGATAATGAAGAGTGTGATCATGTGATCATGTGACCTTGCTTATTATTATTATTATTATTATTATTATAATCTTTGGTGAAAGGTTTGTGAGTTGTTAGAATACTGGGATGGGGGGTAGTAGCTTAGGTGGGTAGGTGGGGTTTGGGAGGTGAGGATGGGTTGGAGGGTTGGGGGTTTTGGGGATAGGGGGATAAGGATAGGATGGGATTTGGGGGTTGGAGGAGAGGATGAGAGGATGAGAGGATAAGATTTTCTTGGGCGTTGCTTGTAATTGAGTTTATGGTTTGTTTTCTGGGGGTTTTTTGAGAGCTGTTTTGAGATGGAAATTTGAATAATTATAGCTCTACGTTTTTGTTTGATGGGTTGAATTGGAGTTGTACTTCCAGTGTGATGTTGAAGGATTGAAGACTAGTTGTGGAAAAATTGGAAAATTGGAAATTAGTTGAGTTCTTTGTTGATATATTATGAGAAAATTGAAATTATAGATTAAATATATAGAGGTTTTTAATTAATCAATTATATAACCTTTTGTAATTAGATATAAAAGAAGAGTTTTTGTTTCTTCTTTTTACAATAATCAATCTTTTATATATATACATTTGAATTCATATAATATCAACCTCAAAACTATTATAAAGCCTGTTTTCTCTATAAGTAACATATTACAATGTAATCTAATTCAACTTTCTCTTTCAATTCCCCCCTTACAATATGCTATCGGGATGCATGTATCTCGACCTACCACTTTTACAATATGTCTTTTTTTCTTTCTTCTTTTCCTTTCCAAGAAACAAGAGTGTCAAGTTTCCTGTTAATAGTATCTATATATATCTTTGTATTTTTAAAGTCGGTACGTCTTATATAAAGTTGATGAATTCTCTCTCTTGAAAATAAAACTATCAATTTCTCCTCTAGTTCAGGTCTTTACCTCTCATCCTACCGCAGTGGAGAGTGGTTTATTTTAAAGTTCCTTTTTATTTATTTATATAGACTGTTAGTTTAGTTAGCTCTCGTCAATCTGGCGGGCCTCGATCCCATTATGCTGTCTAATATCAGCGATTCTTGAGACTGTGAATTGTCAAGTTTCTAATTCTCGGTGTCAATACTTTGGACTTAGCTGATACAAGTGAGGAGTGGGAGAAGACTGGTCTCGAGAGTATGCGAGAAAAGAGGTCCTATACATATATTAATAAGGAAGTGATCTTTTAAAGTCAGGTGTTTGATGATACCTATCGATATATCAAGGCAAAATAATGATCTAATTATTGGCCTTAGATGCTCAAGTGTCTCGGGGGACTTTTTATCCTCTGGATCTATCTTTAACAATGAGCAATTCATCTCATTCATGAGTCTACCATCTATCTCACTTTTATGATGTCCCAAGAAGAACTCATGGGTTTATAATTTCGTTTGGGCCTTCAAAATCATCCTAGCGCTTCTTTACTTTCAAGCTCTATTGATGCGTGTATTAGGTTGCATAGCATAGCTTACATGGTAATGAAAAAACTGTCATCGACAGACAAATTGAAAATCCCAACATTTCATTGCAATCATGCCCGCAAGGCTATTCTTTTATTCCTGTCTATTGAATTATATGACTTATCGCATTTTTTCAAATCCCCAAGTAGTGTTAGTTGATGAGGAACTCTACCATAGTTTGAGGGGTTTGATTTGTTCTATTGTGTCTCGCTATTTCGAGGAGGGAAGCTTTAGGCTGGCGCAGTGTCCAATACAATGTTAGACATAACATCAGACATAACATCTAACACAAAGCTCATTCAAAGCCGACTGCGCTAAGGACAATTGTAGGATATTTTCATTGCCATCAATCTTATATTTCATGATTATTGTTGTTATTAAAATAATAAGTGATAGAATTTACTGCGATGATTTTGAACAATGATAGCAATAAAACATGGAGAAAGCGATACCACTTCTATAGCATTGCCAAACATCAAATATGCTAGCTTAATATACACATAGCTGTGAAGACTGAGCCCTCAATACTGCCACCGAACTTACCACTGTTCCGAGGCTTGCTCGCCAAGGCCAACATCTAACTACGCAACGCATATGAAGAATACTAGTATTGCGATTGTTTTATGTTTCTGGCGAGCTGTAAGAACAATAGTGTAATGACTGTTAAACCGTGGTAGAAAGGAATTGTACGTAGTACTCGAAGCTGAACCTCAGGTAGAACGTGAAGTTTTCCCACACCAGCCAGAGTTAATAAGATACTTGGTATATGGAGGGTTCACTTAGCATGGAAATTCAACGAACAGAAGGTGAATATGGAATTGATGCCTAAACTGACTGCATTGGAGCTCAAAGTAAGATATAAAATCGATAAATATTGAAAAAATAGCTGCAAAATCAACACTGCGTCTCCGTATATAGTCAGATGGTAACCGGGTTGACAGCTTTTATTAGGATATGTCGAGTAAATATTCAAGGTATAGGTAGGATTATCTGTTTCGAGTGGAGGAATAATCTTTTCTAGGAAGCCTAGTACGCTCATGTAGGTTGGCGGTCGAGGTTGTTGTTTATTGATTTTATGGTCGCTAGTCCCCTTTGTGCTGAGGTGTTGCAGAGAAAAGCAATTTTGGATCATCTTTACTGCCAGTGAGGACAATCCTTTCTCTGGGGCACTGATAATTGGTAGCAGATTTCTCAAAGATGGTGAGGGTATTTTGTTCTTCGTATAGAGAGTTATGGGGTTGGACACTGATATCGATAATAGGCAGGCTCGCTAGGATCACATATGTGATTCAGTGGCTGATTATGGGATTAATCATCTGTGGCTCGAAGATCGGCTTGGTGTAAAAATCACGTTGTAGAGGAGGTTTGTCCGCAGATAACTTGCTTTGAATTACTGCGGCCGGTGTTTTCTAGCCATCATTGTCGGCCGCTACTGCAGGCCCTCTCCGCTCCAAGACATGGAAGTTAGAATTTCGTTCTTGTCTTTTGTTCTCATTACTATAGCAAATAAGCGGTTTTATCGGAGCATCAAATACCTAGCGTGACGATCAACGTCAGCATCTGGCAGCAAAAAGCGGCCTCAAGGGGTATTGTTGACAGCAAGCCATGGGGTACTTGCCACTTAAGTTATCTGCATTGAAGGCTATGCATCGAGTTCCTTGATAAAGTTCGAATCCATTACTAGCGGGTGATGGTACTGAAAGTCGACAACTAAATTAACGTACTTGAGCTTCGTCTTAGAGAGATGTGCTTGTGAACTAACGTGTACAAGGAGATATACGAGCTTCTAGATTGTGAAAAAGGCGGAATGGATTGGGTTGAAGAGTTGACGTGGATCTGGATTGTTCTTTCCCCGATCTACTGACTCAAACTTACCACCAAATTGATCTCAGATGTTCCAGAAGGTATTAAAAAAATAGGCTGGCTCCGGCATTTCGTGAAATACTACACTCATACGTCATCCGAGTAAAAGATGATTGTGCTAAGGAAAATTTTGTACGGTTATCGTCAAGTCTGAGTCAATCTACCTTTTAGTAAGGATTCTTATCTATTTTTTTTTTTCAGATATAGCTCCGAGCTTTGATCCGATATCTCGATTTCTTTGACTTTTTGAGGTCAGTATTGCACTGCCATGAGAGCGTCAGATCTTCACACACCAAGCTATGTTAGCCGTGTCTCTAGGTTCAAGGCTTTGATTCCTTGTAGAAACGTCCAGAACGCCAGTGGTGTAGAATTAGTTCATTTAACTGAGATGCGCCGTTCTTCACTTCGCACTTGATGTGCCGAAACACCCTAAATCAATAGCTACGACACCGTCAAATGACTTAAAATCTACGATTTCTCCGAATGGAAGTGTCTAATACCCAACTTGTGCAGCCGCAAATAGTTCAGAGGCCACCACCACTTACTACCGGCATTGCGATCGTGATTTCAAAAGCTTTCTAGGCCTTACTGCTGATACCGTATTTTTCCACTAACTTATTTTCAGCCAAGCCCACGAGATGAATCTAGGTTTATTACATGAACTAAATTTTGTCTGAAGCCATCTAAATATTTATCCACCTCATTCCAGCAAAATGTCGTCATTCCCTCTTCTGTGAGTGCCGACAATTGTGGGGCGGAAATATTTTCGCTTAGCATTTACCGAAAGGGGTCGCCCTTTCCCTCTCTTTTTAGGTTTTCTGATGGACTAGTTCGAAGTCTAACAATGTGGGGCTGTTAGTTCCTGAACTTCTTTCGGTCATATAGCAGGCCCTATTGTTGAATTCATCGCATGATTTTTGATTGGACTGACATATTGTCTTCATTTGATACACTGTAGTCATTTGATAAATTAGGATCATTTGACACGATACAACTATTTGAGCTGCTCAGTCTATTTGAGTCGCTCAATCTACTCAATAGTTTGAATCTGTTTAAAAATTCTGACCTAGTCAAAATGCCAAACTAAACACAAACAATCACAGCTGCCCAACTACCGAATGCAATCTGAACTATGGAAGGCTGGTTCCTTCTTATTTTGACAGATTTTGAGAATTGCTCCACATCACTAAGATATAGCCTCTTTTAATTGCGAATCTTTAATTCAATACTAGTGTATTATAGGGCTTAGTGGCTTAGTGGTAGATTAAGGGCTTCTAATGTGTCATAATCTAGTTTGATACTAATGCAGATAGATACACTTGCTCAATTAGACTTCAACTAGCTTTGGGAAAAGATTTCGAACATATCTATATAAGCAGCCCACCGCACATTTTATTTCTTCTTTTCTTCTTCTCTTTATCGTAAAAACAGTTTACAAATTTGAGGTCACAAACAAAAAGAGTCAGTTCTTGCTTCTTTTCAAACTAAACCATATTCAATTTATCTGTTTTAACACTTGGGTTTTTCGGTCAACCCAACCTACACGTCAATATTTTATTGACAAAAGATGGCTTTCCAAACAGGATTTCGCCACTATGTGGTCAGAGCTGCGGGTCTTGAGTTCTGTATCCCAACGGTTCTCGTTGAGGGTAGAAATTACTGGCGTCGGGAGTTTGTCTCCGATTATTTTTCATCCAGAAGATTGGCGGTAACACGCTGGATCAACTGGATGATTAATGACGCGGCAACCCGGGCAAGGCCGGGACACCCAGATGAAGTTCCTCTTTTGGCAGAGGGCATGCAGGTAATCCCTTGGAGGGATCCTGCGCCATTAGAGGAACGGATTCAGAGTCAAGTCTCTGTAAGACCGGCTGAGAAGGCATTCAGTCGGCACTCGGTACCATTTTGTGGGGAGGTACCGGGAACCCTTAGACCAGGGTTGAGACGTGCAATCTTTTCAAAAGCTTGCAGGCGTGGTGTTCCAGCAGTCTTTGGCTCTTTGGAGGGCATTTCTATGTCCTCCGTGGAAGGACAGAGTGATTCCAGCAAATGCGAACCACTTTTCTCGACTCCGCCAAGTCGGGAATCTTCGGTTAGCTGCGGGATCCTCTTCTTTCCGGAGCTTGACGTCCCTTATGCGTGGGGTTCTGAATATAAACGCGCAAAAGAAAGATTCCTGGCAGAGGCCTATGGAATCGATCTTTTGAGCGTTTAATGTGGGTGTTGGCTTTTTTGCGCGCTTTCACTTCTGTGGGCGTTAGCTTTTGTGGGTGTTGGCTTTTTCGCTTTCGCTTTCACTTCTGTGGGCGTTAGCTCTTGTGGGCGTGGGCTTTTCCAGTTATCTAACGATGACTCCAGCTTTTCTTTCCTTTCCTTTGCCTGTTTTTCCTTTTCTTTTAGGTCCTTTGGCCCACAGCGTTTCCTTTTTTCTTTTCTTTCCTTTTATTTTCTTTTGGGATAGTATCCTACAGCAGTAGTCCTTTTTTCTTTTCTTAAGATACCTCTCAGTAGAGATCCTCCCTGGTTTTGCCAGGGTGCTAATGGGAGAAGAACACGCAAGTGATGTGTAAAGCCCAACCAAAAAAACAGCTATTTATTGTTTTCATTTTGAGGTCCCGTTGATATGGGATTTAGTTCTAATCCTCGTACAAGATTTAGGGTAAGAGTGAACCGAAGCAACTTTGGTTTTTGCTTGCAGTTTGAAGGCTGTACGTTAATCTCCGAAGTACTTTGGAAATCGACCATGCCCTCCCTATATGCGGATAATTGGCACTCTGTATCTTCGCTTCCTATCGATACCAGATTCAAACTCGAACGTAGTGACTGAAATGCCAGCTTCCATCTTGCCTTTATATTGTGAGAAAGTTGGAATTATAGGCCATATACATAAAAGGTTTTCAACTAGCCAATCACGTGACCTCCTGTAGTTAAATAGAAAAGAGAAGCTTTTGTCTCTTCTTTTTAGAATAATCAACCTTCTACACATATACATTTTGAACTTATAAGTTGCTAATAGGTACTGATTGTATTTGGGTCTGCTCCATAGGGGTCATGGAGGAGGAAGCGAGGAAAGGACTAGTTGATTGACTAACTCCAGTTTTTGAATAAAAAAAAATATCTTTTGGTGGAATGGATAGTTTCAATCCCAAACCCATTGTGAACCCCGTTTTCTCCATAAGTAACGTATTACGATGTGATCCAATCAGTTTTCTCTTTCAATTCCCCCTCACAGTGTGCTATCGGGATGTATGTATCTCGACTTTACCACTTTTGCAATATCTGGCTCAATTATTAAGTACCGCAGAGTGTAATCGATAAGATGGTTTGAGTATATAAATTGTATACAATTACCCACAGTTATAGACAGATTGGATTGGAAATTTCGTTTACCCACCAATCATAGATTGATTATAGGTTTTAGACTCAGTAAACTATAGTTTAAATAGTTTGAATATATATATTATGATGATTATTCATTAATCATTGATCTTGCTTTTTTAAAAGAATGATCATCTTAAAATAAAAAACAAGAATATCAAAATCTAAAGTTTTTTTTATTTTACTTAATTTTTATATAAAAAATATATATCAAATATAAATATTATTATATTTTTTTATTCTTTTTTGACCAGTACTTTTAAATAAAATTGTAATGTTTAGAAGTGTATATATTATAATTAAAATCAAAATTTAAAATTAATATAATATTGTTTTTAAATTTTTTATAATTAATTATAAATAACTCATGACTTTCGATAAGTATTTTTTTGATCTATCAACGAACGGTTATTAAGTTGTAATTTGATTAATTTATTATTCACAATTTGAATTGAGTTTTTCAAAAAAGATACAGTTAACTACTAATCGATTATATTCATATTATATATCTAAATAATAGTAGAAAAGAGTTAGAACTACAAGTTATATATGTAAAAGTTTTCAACAACTTAATTATATAACTTTTTATATATTATTTTTAAAATCTAAATTGTTTTAATCTCAAATTGATTATGAAACTCATTTTCTTTATAAGTGATTTATTATAATATAATCTAATTAACTTTTTATTTTATTTTCCCTTTACAATATATTATTAAAATATATATTTTGATCAATTCTTTTATAATAATAATATTTTATCAATTGAAATTTGACTTTTGTTAAATCATTGATTAATACTATATAAGAGTTGAGATATTAAAATATAAAAAACTCAACTTTTTTAATTTAAAATAAAGACTTATTGTTTATTTATTCTTTTCGTTTTTTTTAAAATAAAACAAATATTATTATTTTCATTTATTAAGTTTAATATCTCGCTTTCAAATTACTTTTAACCTGAATTAATCTTTATATATATCAAAAATTATTATTTTCATTTATTTATAATTTTGTGATAAATGAATAAAATGGAATATAATTTGAATAATAAATTCATTATATAATTCTTAGTTAATTTTGAAAATTTCATATTTTTCATAATTAATTAATTGAGATGATAAAAATTTAAATTTAAATTTTCTATTTGTTTAAAATTAATATATAAAATAACTTTTAATTATCTAGTTACAAAATTACTTATAATTAAAAAAAGGAAATACTTTTATATTTCTTTTCTTTCAATAATTAATCTTTTTAATATATATTTTTATACATTTTATTTCAACTTAATCTATTACTTAATCCCATTGGTATTGACAAATGACGTCTTGATAATATGATCTGATCAGATTCTACCTCCAATTCCCTCTTATAGCATGCTATCGGGACCCACGTATCCCGACCTGCCTCTTACACAATAGCAGCAACAATGCGGGACGGTAAGTGGCGAGGATAATACAATACAGGGGTTGGAAAAAGAGACCAATCTATTCAAATGTACTAGAGGATGGTCTGGAAGTTAAGAAAACCTTTAATTCACATGGGATACACAAAGAATATTTGGATTTTTTATAACAACGAAGAGTCATAAAAGTTCAAGATTCGCGGCTAACAGAGCTGTATATAATATCATATCAAATCCATGAAACACGGGTAAGCAAGTACCTCGGGAAATGTGGAGTCAGATAAGTGCCGAAGGCAACTGTTTTCAATAAAGTTTGGCTTGTTCCCCGTAAGGAGCTATCAAGCTCTGAGCACTGACCATAATCATGATTCAGCAAAAGATTTTGACTATAGGACATTTACTAGCAATCTAGGGGGTGTCAAATTCCGATTGCACTAATAGACATTTATAGCTCAAGTGAAATTGGATTTGGCGCCGACTAAGTCTTTGGGTCTAGACCCCCGTCCAATGCGCTAGGGGAATATGTGAGGTTATCAGCGATACCCTATGAAGGTGATTAGTGCAATTTTAATGAGGCTAATCGTCTTAGTTGAATATCTAATTTTTCAGCACTAGACAGAATTTCTATATAAACCCAGACATCCTCCATTTTTTCATTTTCTCTTTCTCTTCTCTTTTCACCTGTATCAATCCGAAGCTAAGTCTAATTTTCCTACCCTTCCTACCCTCATTTACTCTATCCTTTCTTCGATACACTTGCTAACATCCTCAACAGCACGGTGGGGACCTTGGGGCTATCATTCAGCGTAATGCTACATTGTACCTTGATTGCTCTCATGACCTATTGCTTGTCCGATGAGCGCGTTAGTCCTTGAGACAGACCCTCAGTGCTGGCACAGGCGTGAGATTTATGTTCTTTTTGACCAGATAAGACCGATGGTCTTATCTGAGAACATAACCTATAGTGTAGAGGTTTGAGAGGCAACTTTCATCTTCTTTTATTTCATGATAATTATTTCATGGTGTAGAGGGTTAGGGGTCAAGTGATCTTTATCTTCTTTCCCTCACTTGTAAGAGTGATGTCGAGGCTTGTGGGGAGACCTGCATCTTCTTTTATTTCATGTTAATTATTTCATGGTGTAGAGGCTTAGGGGTCAAGTGATCTTTATCTTCTTTCTCTCATTTGTAAAAATGATGTAGAGGCTTGTGGGGAGACCTGCATCTTCTTTATTTGCACGGAGCGATCTGTGGTGTAGAAGCTTATGGGGAGACCTGTATCTTCTTTATTTGCACGGAGTAATCTGTGGTATAGAGGCTTGTGGGGTGACCTGACCTGCATCCTCTTTTTTTTCACAGGATGATCTGTAGTATAGAGGCTTATGGGGAGACCTGTATCTTCTTTCTTTCATTTGTAAAAATGATGTAGGGGCTTGTGGGGTGACCTGCATCTTCTCTTTTCGCACGAAGTGATATGTGATGTAGAGGCTTGTGGGGAAACCTGCATCTTCTTGTGTTTTTCTCTTCGGGGTTTGAAACACTCACATTGATCTGTTGCGATGTAGAAGATTGAGAAATGATGGGCGGCGGGCCGTCAAAGTATCACCTTCTGTGGGTTCTGGGGGCCATTGAGATTGGGGTTTTAACTCTATCTTGAAGACCTGTTAACTAGATTTTTGACCTCGTGGCTTTGAAAATAAGAACTGATTTTGTGGGTTCTGGGGATTCTGGAGGTCGTTGAGACTGAGGTTTTAACTCTATCTTGAAGACCTGCTAACCACATTTCTTATGTGGTGGCTTTGGCAAAAATAAGACTTGTCTTTGCTCAGCTGTGGGGCTCTCAAGTCCAGCTCATATGACTACTTGGTTCTAAATTAGTCATTTCGGCAAATTTTCCCAACTGAGCTTTTCTCTTTTATTCTGTTCAGATATGCTTGATGGATGCACGTAAATAAGCTTCATAAGGGCTAAGATGGTAAATAGAACCACTGGAAAGAAGGGAGTCAATTACCTTCTTGGGAACTTGCAAATCATAGTCTAGAAGTACAATGCTTGATCACCTAATGACCTTCAAACTACCACATCTAGGACTTGGAAAAATCTATGCATTTGCAACTCTACAGTAAGTTCCCTATAATTAGTCTTTTATTTTCGCCGGAGAAGATTGCTCATGGTAGATCTGCAGTTTACGGATGTTCATTGTCTTCTTCTACCTAAACATCAAATAGCCTTGCACAACCAGAATCTAATCGATGAACCCTCGCCACTGCGCTATTATGGCTTTCCTTCTCAGGCATTACTACTATGAATACTGGATCAACACCATGGAACCCGCCTCAATTGGCATTACTTTCGACGCATGTCTCCGGGAAATTTCCGCATCACTCAGGTTATCGCATCAATACGAAAAACTTGTGTGGACACAGCTTCATGATGGTTAGCTTTATACACAGAGAAAAGCTTGAGAATCCGAAAGTTGGAGGGCTAAGAGTGAAGTTGAGGAAGCCTCTAAGGTGGATTTTACACCGTGCCGAGCGAAGTTTAGCCTCGATCTCTCTTGTCATCTAATATTTACCTCCCCGCTACACATCTTTTTTGCGGACTTGGTAAAGCAGAGAATTTACTCAAAAAAAATAACTAGGAGGAGGATGAACTGCGATGTATGGTTAGAGCGATACAAACCAGCACCACTAAAAATTTAAGAGATAGAGACATATAGAAGTGCTTCCTTGTGGATTTTGGACATGGATAGCCCAGGCATGCTATGCTCATGCAATGCATCGCATCTATCACCAATTATAAACTCAACATGGGGAAATAGTAGAAGACCTTCGCTATAGTATTTGTACGTCATATTTAATTATTGCTATCGCTATTTTCCACCTCATCCATCATTCCATTCAATCACTTAAGAGCCGTGTGGGGGTGTTTGTAATCTGAACCTATCAGCTAACTAACGAGTTTAGACATTCCTTCCTAGTATCAGCAATAAGAAAAATCCATTCATCTCTCTAGAATGTATACCATCGATCACTGAAAGTAAGAAAGCATTTGCTCTTGTATCATTCTAGAATATTTTATCAACAATTGATACCAGAATTTTTTCCTTGGCAGGTATTTACTTTGTATCTTGGAAATGAAGGAAAACTGGACTTATCATGCGGTTTAAGGTTGTGTGAGCTGGGGCATATCTGTCTGGTCATTTGAGAATCATAGGTTTCAGCCTGGTGAAGGAAGGAAGGACTGAAGGAGAGGAGAGAAGGAAATGGTTAGAAGTGGAGGAGTTAGAGAAGGACCGATGAAGTAGAAAAGCCTAATCTAATCGAGTTGGATGAAGTGTTGGAGAAGCGCAGCTTCCATGGATGATAACTGGTGTTCAGGTTACAATAGAAAAATTTGGAAATAATGAGTTAATTTATCACAAAGTCAGTGGAAAGTTTAATATCAGCTGTAATATAATTAATAAATTGATCAAATTATATATAAAGAGTGATTAAAATAAAGTTAAATATGTGTACAAGAAAAAACCATGTCGAGCGACCGCCTGTGTCATCTCTGAAATTACCCAGAAATCAGAAAATGCATTCCCTGTCCCCCAGATAAGTGAATACCAGCAAGAATGTGATATTCCCATAAAACATTTGTTGAAATAGATTGATTAATGAGAGCTAGTGAGACCGGGAGTAGCATTAGTAGGTATAGAAGCTACCGATGGGAATGAAAATGTCTGGACACTGGACGGCGTGGTAATGACATCTTTCGCGGATCCAGAGGATGAAGATAAAAGAATTGAATCTGGACCCTTGATAGTGAAACCGAGACTACCACTACTGGCACCATTAGCCCAGAGCACCTTGAATGGGACGAGTTGTCCTGCGGCCAAAGTCTTGGAAACGGTTGTGACGGCATTGTGGGTGTCAGAGCTAGCGGCACTAAGGTCGGCATTGCTGGAGGAGTAGGAACCAAATGCGTTTGAGCCAATCCATCCCATAACAATGTCGTCAAAGGCGGTGATGTCGAAGGTATAAGTTCCTGCTTTCCGAGCATACACGTAGCCAGTGTGAACGATGGCGAGTTGTTCAACGCTGCAGGATGGTGCACCAGGGTATAGGGTTACATCCGAACCAGCGGCAGTATTGGAGAAACCAATTTGACTGGCTGTTCCTGTATAAGTGGGGATCTTTCCATTCAGCGAATTGACATCAAATTGCGACGACCCGTAGCCAGTAGTCAAAGTTGGGTTGCTGAAATAAGCAAAGTTGATGCCAAGGTTTGACGATGTTACCGGATCAGATGAACCTGAAAATGTGCAAGATGGAATGCTACCAGACAATGTTTCGGACGCGTAAGAACCCGCAGATCTACTGTTGGAAATCGAAGGTGTATTGCTGCTAGCAGACACTGATTCTGTTGCTGCGGCGGATGATGACGCGGCTAAATAACCGGAAGAAGTAACAGATGTGAAGAAGGTGTTGCTTCCTGGGTTGGAAGGCAACGTATTAGATGCTGAAATGCTTGCTGCGTACGAAGGCAATGCATTTGATACACTGCTTGTGGGGGACCCAGAATAGGTAGGTCCACTAGCTGAGGCATAACCAGTTCCTTGTGGGACCCGGTAGCTGCTTTTTGTATTCGAGGGCGATGCATGAGATACATAAGTACTGCCAACTGTGTTGGAAGCTGATCGACTAGATTCGGAAGTGCTGTTGGCTGTGTTTGAGGCCAATGCACCGGATGCCGAAGTGGTGCTTAATGTATGGAAAGTTGAGGTGCTGGTTGTTGAAGGAGCAAAAGCTGAAGTACTGTTTCTTGTATTTGAAGACACTGTACTAGATATGGCCGTATTGTCTGTATTGGAAGCCAAAGTATGGGATTCAGAAATACTGCTAATTGTCTTGGAGGTCGAGGCATAAAGTGTCGAAGAAGCATGTACTGATGTGATATCTGCGGTATTTGAGGGCAATACTTGAGATGCCGAAGTACCGCTAACGATCCCGGAAGTTGAGATAGATGGTGTTGAAGAAGCATGAACGGAAGTGCCATTCGCTGTACTGGAAGGTAATGAATCAGATGCCGAAGTGCTGCTAAGAATCTTGGGAGTTACGGTCCCCGATGTTGATGAAGCAGAGGCTGAAGTGCTCAAAACACTACTTGAAGTAGAGTTGACCGGAGCCTTGCAATCCTTTGCGTAGTTCGGATTGGTAGAATTGGAGAGAGTATAAGAAGATCCGATTGTATAGACATCGCTTCCACTAGTATAGCCAGTATTTTTAGCATAACTGGAATCCCACGATTCTGTGTACATGGCGCAAGTTTGACCTTGAGCAACACCATTCAAGTAAAGGATGTAAGTGTTGATGAATTGACAAGTCTTCGAGCTACCAGTTGCGGGCGGGTGAGCAAGATCATATGAGCTAGTCGCATCACAAGCTGCTGTACAAAGGCTAACATCAAAAGGAGTGTCGGTAAAGAAACGTGAACCGAGGAAAGTGTCGTCTTTGTTGCAGCCCAAAGGAGCGTTGATAGCAGAGTCTTCAAGGCATGAAGGAGGACTATATCCGCCTGGTGTGGGAACGGAAGCAAGGTTATAACCATTAGATCCTGCGATGACAACGCGGAATTTGCTACGCCATTGACCATCATTGACTGCAGTCTTAGAATCAATTGAGCCACCCCAGAAAACACATTTGACATTTGTCATTGAAGAAGGATTTGTACAATTAGCACCTGGATCGACAATTGGATCGCGTTCAAAGTAAAGATTGAAAGCATTACACCCGGTAATGGCAGAGCACTTGTCAGCACATGAGGCGGTATCGTAAGTTGGTAATTGTGTAAATCCCATATACTTCAAGGCATTATTGGATGCATGAAGATTGACAAAGGATCTGGTGTAGCCAGAAGGAGTTGATGCACTATTAGCTGCATCAGCAAATGGCTTATATGCTACAAACGAATCCGGATCGTCTGTTGGATTGGTGCCTATGTATATTGTTTCTGGTTGCCTTGCGCATGTACCATCTCTGGCTTTGAGATGATTGAATTGCCGTTTCGTGTCTGAGGTAGCTCCTTTGATTGCTGAGCTTTGCGTCACGGCGGCAGCGGCGATGGAAGCAGCGGCAGTCGGATTATACGATACAACTTGAGCAGTAACACCAACTGGTACATTTTGAGCACTTTGTACGACAGGGCTGAGAGATTGAAAGTCGATGTTTTGAGGGCGAGGAGCTGCATTTGCACCCGCGACCGCCGAGGCGGCCAATGCGAGATTGGTGAAACGCATGCTCAAGGAGAAATATCTTTTTCAAAAGAAGTTTAAATATAATTTCAACGAATGAGTAAATATAAGATCAAAAACAATAGAAGATTGATGAATGAAGGACTGAGTACTGTGGAACTCTGCTTGATATTGATTGAAAAAAAAAGACCGAGGAGGTGATTGTGTACTTATACACAGCAAAAAACAATAAATGTAATCATTTGTTCAAGTCTAGAGAAACTTCCCTCAAACCTGAGTCAATAGTTCAAAGTTGCTAAGATCGAACTCTACGAAGAAAGCGTCGGTTGGACCGGTAGTTCCTCAATCTGCACGTTTTGCCTTGTACATGGCAATTTTTCCCACATGCCGAAAAGTACGATGATTTGTAAGATGAAAGAACTTAAACTACCTCAACGTTACTAGCCACATCGATCAATTTTTGTGTTTTGTCATTCGCGATAGAAGGTCCATCTTCGAAGCGGTTGTTCTAGTGGTTGTAAACTATGGCGCCGTCGTTGATCTAGCAGGAGCACTTCCGGTTGCTGATGTTCATGGAGGTTTCAAACTAAAGTGGCTCTAAGCTAACGACACCACTCATAGCCTATGCTGCAATGAGCGGCAAACATCAAATCCTTCCTTATATATAATTTTTCGACTCGAGCTACACGAATAGTCTATGTAGCACAAAACAAGTCGTCAAATGAGCTGGAGATTTCCGTTCTCTGGTTCAATGTCAAATAACATTGAGACCGAGGAGAACCTTTTTTGGACATGATGTACATAATTTCAATGCAAATAATCTAAATACCATAACTTCGCCCCAGGGAAAATTACTGGGATGGCTAGGTGGTGCCGATTCATGGCAACATCCCGATAATAACTGTGCGCAAAGTCCTCAGAACGCCCCTCGTTTGTTCCGGAGTCCGGCAACAAATTGTGCAACGTCTAATATATAGGATCTTTACCGCAGAACCTAATATCCTGTCCGTCATATCTTAGCTTAAATCTAGATCAAATGGAAAGCTTACTAGCCAAAGTGTTATCCAATCGGTTGACAATTCCCCTTTTATTTCCAAGCCTCTAGTTTGGACCCCCTGGCCTGGCTAAGAAGGTGATGCATCTGGGAAAATATCAGACGAACCCCTGGCTAATCACAAGCTTTTAATCGTCTTAAATTTAGTAAGGCTGATGCCATATTAGTCTCCTTACCAAAAATATCGGCATATACACAGCATAGATATAATTGGATTCTCAAATGGAGCTTAAAATGCAGATCTTCCCTAAGAAACGACGGCGTTGGTGCTTGTCCACGTGAATGTCCAAAACACCCCTTAGAATGATTTATGGAATTGCGCAACTGTAAAAGAGCCGCAGAGAGGTTTCTTAGGTGACTTAGAATTCGAAGGGTCAAAGAATCCGTCTCGAGATAGTCTTTATAACCATTTGCGAGCAATTCGAGCTCTTCATGGCGGAAACACGAGCCATTTACCTAATCTCGCAGCCATCGCTTTGAACTGAAGTCGATGAATCACGAACTTACCCGCAAGTCTGGCTCTCTCACGAAGTTTATCATTTTCTTGGGTGCTGATTCTAAGTCCGAGGAAATGTCTAGGAAATGTTGGACCAGTTTTTAGCGCAGCCCGTGCTTGCTGTTTTACGCCACATGATCACGTGTCGTTGAGCACTCCAGCCACTTCCACCAAAGATAGCGAACTCCATTTGACTCTTGAAATGCACTGATTCTAAGCCCTAAAATATACAGGCCTTGTTTGAACGGTTTCTCAATTCCGATATTGATAGCCATCTCGTTGTTTTGATGGTATTCTATACGTTTCGATGAAGATTTAGCATTGATTTGCAGTCGTAAGGGGGAACATAGGGTTGTGGTTCATGTCCAGCAGGTACTCCGAATTTGATGTCGAGGATAAAATCCGTCATACGCAACATCATAGCCTCATGGTTCCCAAGCATGGCAATCCACAAATTCAGCAACGCCAGATGCTCGAATAAGCTCTGCGAGGTCAATCGTTCTCAGAAAATTCCCTAGCAAAGATCCTTTTCCCGCGATATCTTGAATCTCATCCGAGTCCATTCACCGATTCGCAACGAATGGTCTGATATCAACTTCGATATCACAAATGAGAATTCACAGCGCATTTGGGCTTGGACCCAATTTATACCTGCTCGGAATGACGAGATCATGCGGATACGGGTAGGAATCAGGACATTCATACGATCCTGGGCGTTATGAAAGTGGTCATCGATGCAGGTCCCGATATATCATGAATACATCAATGAAGAGCGCATATGGGGGGTTAAATGGAACTTATCATTGACAGCAAAACATGAGTTTTTTAGACCGCATTGATATCGCACCGTGTTGATTACCAAAGTTGAAGTCAGGTATTTAGGAAACTCTGTCTCGGTCCATCTGTACTTGCATTTTAGGAATTTCGCTACAAGTTGAAGTACTTTACTGCGCTAACAGTCGTTATCCTGTGAATCGCCTACGGTTTAATTCCAATTACAGGTGGGTTGTTCTTTAGGAAAGGATAAGCTGATTTTATGAACGTTTCGCGATTAGTAAAAGTCTCTGCTGAAATCTTGTTCTTTTGTTTTCATGCCTCTGCAACTTTGAAAATGTTGGCTTCTCCAACATCAATTTCGACGGTACACTAAAAATGGCGCAGCTATTATTTCTTTGCCATAGTTGATTCAATCATTTCTTCAAGTCCTGGCCGTACCTATACAATAATTATTGGTATTTATTTCGTACATAGTAAACACAGCTCATGTTTCCTTTCTTCAGACAATCATATAGAAATCTTGGGAATTGCAGTCACAGAGAGTTACGTATGAATGTCCCACAATACTTGCTAAATACTGAATGTTTATTTGCTAGACGCTGATGAATGACTCCGTCGAACTGGTTCTGCACTGAACGGTCTCCATGACTTAGCTGTGCGAGAAAAAACACATGATTACATCTCATCTTGTGCTGAAGACTATGCATAGTCTAATATCCAAGCAATTGCATCTCTACAACTACCTCACTAGCCGTTCCCGCTACCTTTCCAACCGCTTAAAACCGGGCATCCCAAGTTTGTCCATGATTTTCCATAAGCTCTCTCGTATCTTCTTGACATCTTCTGTCCTTTTCTGCATCTCTTCTCTCATCTGCGCCTGCTCGAGTGAGCTGATATTCTATTTCTTGAGCGCATTTGTCAATGATGCTTTGTATAGCTCGGGCGCGGGTAGAGCTGATGGCTAGCTGAGGGGATCGGAATAAAGGGTGGCCGTTGAGCTGAACAGAAACACTTAACTCGATACGCGATGCCATCGTGTGAGTTGGAGCTGGAGTTGAGGTTTGGATATGGGTGTGTGTGGTTCGGTATAAGATAATTTACGAATTTCCTGGAGGTTCCTTTCATAATAGTAATGATGGTGGTTGTTGAGTTTGGAAAAAGGGGATCTTTAGGTGAAAATAGATCATTTTATAATTCGTACTAGAAGTAATTGCTGCTTAATTATTCAGTAACTTTCAAAACCGGTTGTGCTCTTAGTATTTTGAATGATGAAAATGCCATGATTCCAATTTTCGGAGTTCTTTCGGAAGTGAAGCGGATCACCCGTGAACCCAAAGGTGATATGCTCGGTATTCACAATGAGGATTTTCTTCCCCAAATCTGAATATTTGACGTGATATATTGGTACAGTTCCAAGTAGGGCACATGCACAGTCTCCAGGTGAGCTAAGTCATATTTGCTGCAAAAAAGAACATTCAAAAGTGAGTGATCTTACTTCCCATATTGGCGATCCTTCTTTGATACCTTCAGTTGAGAAAATGAGCAACGGAAAGGCAAATTATGTAGAAGACCTTACCTTTACATTTTCGCGAAGTTGCTTGAATATTTGCCTAGTAACTACGGCATCAATTTGCAGCATACATTGTCTTGATCAGGGTAAATTCACTTGTTTTATATCATCCACTAGGAAGGAAGCACGGTGAATATCCTACCATTACTTCCTGAATCCGTCAATATGGCAAGTCGTTCATCGAATAACTCAACCCACCACACTCAAAAAGATGTTCAACAAGAGTTCTCACGAATAAATACCTTCCACGCCATGCTTCCCGCCGATGGGGACCTCCAACTTTTGATACACTTCCATACAAATTCCAGATCATTATTTTCATCAATCGCCTTGATGAGATGCCTAGAATATTGGCATTAATCAAGGCCTTACCAAATTTCAATCAACTCAACATCTGCTACAACTTCAGGTCCTTTTACAAATCAACCGTAGAAGTCACAAGGTCGCATTATCCAAATATAAACTTTCATTCAAAGGAAAATGTCTACTCAGACCCGAAAATCATTGCATGTATCTCAATACCCATGTCGATACACTAGGTTTATTAGATTGGGGTATTTTAAGATCCTATTGGTGTTGGGCCTGCGACTACGACTTCACATCTATTAAGCGTGTTGAGTGCGAAAGTAAAGATTACATGAGTGTTTTGGACTTATTTGATAAACTGGAGACATTGGACGTTCCTTTACCTGTTGAATTCACTGATTTTGGTCGAAAGTTTCCGGAGTTTGAGGCCAAGATGAGAGGGTTGAAGGATGATATTGGACAATGGAATGCGTAATGGCATCCTGATGGATGTAAACTGGAAGTCGAAGTAGTTTTGACCGCGAAAAGACTGAAGACATATAGTCCAAGAGTTCATTGTGATGATTCTCTTGATTCCGAGTATTTTGAAAGAGAGCCCCTACTAAGCGTTTAATACTTGTGTACTACTGAATCGCATCAAGAAATAGCACACAGCCGCCAAAGCAACGGCGCGTAGGTAATCGACAGCGATAAGAATCGCGAGTTTTTAGTTATTTAATTCCCTTCTAGTTATCCCCTTTACACCTTCCAACTTATGCACATTTCCAATAATAGGGCCAACGATGCCAGATCTTTCGAATCCAAGATTTTCCACTTCTAGTCTATTAATGATTCTATCTTTTGCAAGTTTCCAATTTTGTGATCTCATCTTTGCAGTAGAAGTTCTATATAGTCTTCGATAAATTTGCTTTGGCTCCGCAGTGCTGGCATTGCCGGAAGGTTTTCAAATAAGAATGTTGTTTCTCCAGTTGCAGTGGACAAAGATCACCCCATTCACAGGCATCATGCTGAATGAACCTTTTTTCGTTTAAGGTCTTCTGGTGTAGATACCCTTCTATGCTTCTTGGAAATAGCGAAAGGTTCACCGGAGCTTTTCGAAAAGCTGGTCCATACTCTTCATGAAGCCTATCGAGATGTCCATAAGTGGTTTAAATGATTACATAACATATTCGGGGCGGTGGGGAGATGGCTGGACGTTTTGGCCTCGAAATTTGGACAATGGAGAGGAATAGAGATTATAGACCGCGAAGGCGACATAATGCTAAAGATTTATAAATTTACGAAGCTAATTCAGTAGAATTACAATAATTAGAAGAATATACAAGAAACAAAACAAAGCTAACAATATAGCTTTTTTTGGTGCTTGGTAACAAGCTTATCGACTAAGTGTCCAATGGACGAAAGAAGACCCTTCATCGTCGACCACAAAAGAGAATTGAAGAGGAATGCTTACAAGGAAAATATCAGTGCCTATGATATGATCCTTGGGTCAATTCCAGACTGCTGCCTTCAAATTATCAGTAGGTTTATCAAGCTTAGTCCAAGCCACCGGGACAAATAATCCAAAGCCGGAGAAACATCTTAACAAATGTGGTACTCTGGTTACACACTGGAGCCACAAACTCGCACAGAGCGACCTTGTGAAAAGTCTCATCAGGTGCTTCAGGTAGATTTATAGCTACTATATACCGGATGGCTCCCGACCTAGCTATATACCGCGTTTCTTTACCTACCCCAGAAAGCATGTAATCCAGATTCCTATTTGTTCCCTTTGTCTTTACCGACATAAATTCGCCCTGTAGTTGTTCCACAGCAGGTATTAGCAAGGTCGAGCATGCCATTTTGCGTGTGATAACTAGGCTTGAAAATGGAGGCGAGCTTTATTGGGTAAAGCGCAACGATATGGCGATTTCATTTAATTTGAGCTACACAGAGTTACATCTCGGTCAACTTCAGGTGGAACATTTGATCGCTGGTCTTGAAGATCGAGATTGTGATATGGCACAAGCGTGTTATTAAAAATCTATCTTGGAGAACTCAGGGTTTGCAAAAATTGTTTCATGTGCACTTCTCGGACGTATATCCGAAGCCTTACAAGATGTAACTACCTACCTATATATGGGTCAGTATAGTACAGTCTTCGGCTAGCACGTGGCGAGGGTTCGATTCAAACGTTCGAGGTAACTATATGTTATGACGGTTGACGTAGTAGTCAGCGTCTCGCTATCCAAGTATGATGCCCAGTATCTGATAAAAAATTAATATAGGGTCCAGATATGAAAGATTAATTACCCTTCAAAGTTGCCCCCAGGGCTAAAAATGAAGCCCGTTAAGAATTTTGGGTTTTAAGATCATACAGGTCTAGGATAAATGCGATCTAGTCTGCGCTTTTTAAGCTGTTGTTATACAGGATCTTGAGTTAAATGATTGAGCGAATAGAGTCATAAGATCTGAGAGATCATGGGCCATGTTGATGATTTCATTGCGCAACCTCTCGATGTACACAAAATAGTATGTGTACATCTAATGTCAATTATCTGTTTACTGATGCCGGCAACCACAGTACCCTCAGCTTCAGTATCAATTGCTGCAGAGTATCTATTTCGATCTTTAAGACAGCGACACTGGGAATACCATAGCATGTCAGCATTATCTGTAATTGCAGTATGCATTCTAATCGTTGCTGTTCTCTTCACAATAACATGTGTAGTTTTCTACAGTATGTGCCCTGCCCGCCGCATCAGCATATGCTAACTTACCTCAAAGTCAATAAAGAAGACGTGAGTTCCTTTATATTTTACCACAGTCGAGAATTTCGACTTCGATATATAACACCACGATCCCACATTATTGGAATGTCACCGATCACTCAGCCATCAAGAAGACTGGAGAAAATAGACACTCATCACCATATGATTCCACCCGTCTACCTCGAGCGTATGCATATACCCGCTCATAATTCATCAGTTCTTCTCCTCATTCTAACTGCCTGATTTCCTCATGCGATTCTGACAAGTTTGCCAGGTATAAAACAGGAACCGAAAGGACCGGATGGCGTACTATTTCCGACATGGTCCCCACAGATCTCTCTAGATTTCATGGCCCGGAACTCTATTTCTACCTCTATCCTCTCATTTGCTCATACCGCTCTCGAAGATCCTTTACTTTGCCAAGAAATCAACATTTACGCCCACAACCTACGTCTGCAATATCCCACAAAATTCGGATTCTTCGCCACGATTCCGGCGATAACTGTATCTTCTATACCGGACGTACTCTCCAGTCTCAAGTTTTGTTACAAGAAACTCAATCCAGAGGGAGTTACCCTCTTCACCAGCTACGACGGTAAATACCTCGGACATGAATTATTTCAGCCAATATGGGAGGAATTGAATAGAGTCAATGCAGTGGTATTCATCCACCCTATTGCCAACTCACTCACCCCGCCGTCTTTGGTTCATCCCTTCTTAATCCCTCCAATAGCCGACTTCACGCACGAAATAACTCTCACGGCTTGTTCTCTCATCTACTCTAATACTCTATTCTCCTATCCCAACCTTAAAATTATTCTTTCACATGCAGGAGGCACTCTTCCTTACATCAGTAGCCGCGTGGCAAACCTAGCCTATGACGCTTCTATCGGTGTGAAGACACCCGAACAATTCATGAGAGAAGCTAGAAGCTTTTATACAGATCTAGCAGCGAATAGCTACAGTGGACCTGTGGAATATGTAGAAAGTTGGTTGGGACCCGGAAAGACTACTTATGGAAGTGATTTTCCATTTATTAGAGAGAGAACTACGGTGGGTGAGTTAAGCTTCTTAGATGGCTGGATCTATAAGAATGGTGAAGAAGGAAAGGCTGTTATGAGACAAACGGCATTAGATCTATTCCCACGGTTAAAAGCTCAGATTGAGAAGGCTCAGGATGCTAAAAAGGGACCCGTTTTGGAAAATGTCAGTACTAGCAGTAGTGAAAGTGGTATGAGTGGGGATCAGAATGTTTGATGCGAATAGCGTTGCAAAGATACAAGTATGGATTGGTTTCGTGATGAGATTGTATTGAATGGAATATGTTCTGATTATTACCGGTACTATACTGCTCGGTATTATTTGTTGGAGCCCGTGATTGGTTTTTATTATTGGATTTGGGTTTTTGAGTAGGGTCATATACTTATGATGATATTATTAGAAGCATCGAAAAATTCTCACTCGGAGACCTCGACGTCGCGTCCTTGACGTAACGGCAATGTCAAGTAACATTTAAAGTTATTACTACTGTATCATCTGAATATGCGATACAGACAGAGTCACTCAGGTACTAGTCAGCCAGGTCGTTACTTTCCCCTGTCTCGTCATTATGTAAGCAGGCAGTATTCGTTTCATTTTAGTTTAGTTCATTCGTAACTTTAGATGTGAGTATCTCGGTAAAATATCTGATCTGTGTGAAAAATCGCGCAACGGCGTCTTAAATGCTTGCCATAGAGAAAATTTTCTAATTTTCGCCCTCCAAAATCTCGTCGCCTCATGAACAATATCCAGATGGTGAGACTCGTATACTGAACAATCCTGGGATTCAAGCGTTGCAACGATTGCGCTCCATATAAATATGCCGCAGACTCGGGTGCTACAGTTCCAGAACAGACGCAAAAAGGGCATTGGAAGGCATTAATACAGCATATTTAATCTATTTACCATGAGTCTAGGATTGGAGATGTCATGACAAGATATACCATGAGAAGTGGCAGACTGAAAGAATGATGAAGGTTTGAAGTGGAAAATTTGATTGGATCTTGCATACTGGATGTAGCCTCTCGAGCCATACTAAGACTGATTCTGCCATGGTTTCATTCTATATGATTGAGACATCTTTCATTCCCAATCATAACAACCGAAACCAAAAACAGCGTACGAAATCGTTGTTAAATTCAATGTCCAGCTTCTTACTCTTCGACTTCCCCGTCCCTGACATCAAAGTATCTGTCAAGATGATATTTCGACTCTTAATGACTCTACTTGACTCATTACTTCAGGAGAATATTTAAAACCAAAGCAAATATCCTTCTAAGGACAAAATCCACATTCCAAAGGCACAGTATCACGGGTGTAGCATAGGGTAAAGCATAAGGGTGGGTATCAGCGCTTCTCGACGTCAAGTTATTTCTGACTAGGTTCGAAGCGAAAGCTTATTTCGCTATTATTCTCTTTTCTTTTCTTTTATTCTTACATCTGAATGGTGGAGGGTAGAATTTGTATTGCTGCCCTGAAAACCCCTGAGTGTCATCTATACTCCGCTTAAATTGTGGATCTCTATTGATGATGTCTTGGCGTTGCTGGTTCCAAATAAATCTTGCATTTCTCCAGCATTTTATATTCTCCTTGTCTGGGATCTTTCCCGTCCCCAAACATAATCTTTCGCTGTTTTTCCACGTAGTCGTCGTGCTTTCGTAACTCCACGTTTGTGCTTTCTGCGGAGGATGTCAGGGTGGCAATTGTTAGTGCTTTTTTGTTCTTCAACCCACAAGTTCCAATTCACTGTCCAACTTTGTTCTCCTTCGTTTAGCGGATGCGTCTGATCCGTTCTCTAAATCCGTTCTACATCGTCTTATCGTCTGTCCCCTTTCCTCTTTCGTCGACTGACTCTTCAAATTATTGCTCAGTTTTGACCTTTCGCTACCACGGATTTCTTCGTTTATCTCGATTGGAGGGATCTTGGTCGACGTTGATGGCTCCATTGCTTTTTCCTTTTCCGTCATAAGTTTGCTCACGGAAGCCATTGAGTCCTTGAACCGACCGCCACGACTTCTGCTTCCGATCGACGCCCCATGTAAGTTAGTCAAAGGAACCATAGCTTCCCAACTCCAACGCTGTTCCTCTTTATTCACGATAGCGGCTCCTTTGACCGAGGTATTCTGCATCCGCTCCCTATACCCCTCTTTCCCCATCAACGATAGGTTTTCTATTGCTAAGACTGGGCCAAACCTTCTCCCTCTCGACCCAGCATGTTTTGATTCTTCCATCACCCCCGAGCTCTCATTAATATCAGTCGGTCGAACCTTGTACTCCCACCATCTCTCTACCTTCACAATCTCCCACAAAGCGTATACACCCAATCCCAAGTAAGGTATATCCCTCACTCTTGTATCAGTTGTCAACCCACCTCCTCCATCCATAAGTATTGAATTTCGACCGGTTCTTTCAAAGTGTAATTTGAGAATTTTGTCAATTGTGACCATCTATCAATCAATTAGTGTGAGGAAAAAACGAAAGCGGGATAAATGTATACCCGGTTGACCTTCATCCATAAAAAGTCACCATGTTCACATTTCTTTAGTGGAATACCTGGTTGTAAAATTGCCACATAATATTCCCAGGATTTTCGAGATATGGTTGGTAGATTCGAGGATGCAACTTGATGTAGATGACTGCAAGGTACCTATTAGCTTATGGATACAATTTTCCTCTGTGAGTATGGCTCTTTCTTACGTTCTGTGATCTTCATGGACTCCTGCCATGATTGTAGTAATTTCAAATGCCGAAGATTGATAGTGTAATCGAAATGCCGAAAACTCTCAATGCAGGTGAATTATGAAAAGATCGGTATCAATTGCAAGTCGAGGTACCTGGTAGATATTCGAAGGAAGAAATTTCGAGGCCAATAACTTATTGAGATGTTCAAGAATGAAGAATGTGTAATACTATTAAAATAAATACAGTATGAGCGCGACTATCGTGTTGTCCTGGTAGATTTGCGCGGCTGTATCTGTCAAGTTTGGTCTCTTAAAGCTTTTACCCTCTAGAATCTTAACTCGCAGTGAATAATCCTAATAGAAGCAGTAAATTATCTATTTAATCTCTCTTCCAGGCAAAAGTATCAGTGAATTTCGTGGTTTCTACCTTTTAGGAGTCTTGGCACATTTCATCAACTGTACCACTTCCAGCTCATTAAAAACGTAGAGCACTGGCAACCTCTGCTATTCATCATGTATTATCATCTGAGTTTGGTTATTTCTCTGCTCATTAGTGCGTAAGCAATATAACGTACAAGTGGTCGGATTTCAATATTCATGATCCGCAGCGTGACATTGAATCCGATTATACTTACCTGCCACTGACAATTTTTGAAAACAGTCGACAAGATTAACGATGAGAACAAAGTGATATATCACCAGGTAAATATGCAGTCGGCAGGTCATATCATGTATGGAATAAAAGATGGGCAACCTAATGCATGGGAGGGTTACCGGACTTCAAAAAGTCATCACACGTTGCTTTACGTAGTATCACCATAAGATACACAAGTTCTTTCTGGAATGGCCTTAAATTGTCTACTAACAACGCCGTCCACCGTATCTAACGCCTTCCCTTTGCTAAAAAAAAAAACTAGCTTCCATTAAGCTAGTACGAGGTTAAAAACCTGACGACCCGGCCCTTTTAGAGAAGGGGCGAGAGGAGGCGGGACCTTGCAAAAGGTCGGAGTGGGGTGGGCTGGACCAGTTGCGGATAGTCCTTTGAATCCGCAGCTGGAGCGATAGGATATCGATCTTCATTTTGGCCAAATGATTTGGCGTGATGGGCCACGCTAGGACTGGAGTAGCGAGAATGTAGGGAATTCTCATTTTAGCGGAACCCTCCGTTAGATTGAGCGGAGGATTGTTGTTATCAAACTGCTTGCCAGCGACGGAGGTTGTGACTGCACGGCTTACTGTGTCGCGGTCCGTGGTAAGGAGGCTTTGTATATGCATTTTGGATACTAGAAGTGGTGAGGGTTAACTAATGTATGAGGTGATGCGAATGCACGAAACGATATCAATATATGAGATAATAGAAGTGGATAAAACAATGTGGATGAACAAGATGGTTTAAATGTATGAGATTGATATAAATACACAAGATTAAATCAAGGCATAAAACTATATGAATATATGTAACAATACAACTTTCCAAGCAGTGAGAATATACAAGATAACTTCAAGGTACAAAACCATATAGAACTACAATCAACATCCCAACACATAAAAGCAATACAACAAGACAAGACAGGCACTAAGAGTAAATCACAGCAACAACAAAAATAAAATTAAGGATAAGGGCATCTACTAACCAGAAATACTTCCTTTTCCAAGAGGAGATGAAGTGATGTAAGACCGTTGATTGCAAAAAATGAAATATGGGTCCAGTTCAGATAGAAATACAACTTCAGCGTGCTAATATTTTATTGGCTGGTGATGAACTGAAGTTAGTGTGCGCTAGACAGTGTCTAAGGGGGGGCTAGACGTGTACTTTGGGGTTTAGCGAGGTTAGTGGTTTAAATCGGTAGCAAAATTTGATGAATTGATAGGAATAAATCATGTTCTAGATTTCGGAGTTTGGACTTAGGGTTTGAGGAAGTAAGTAGGAGGTAGGTAGGTATATCTGAGATTGGATTGGGAAGTAATTGTCGGAGGAAGAGTGTGTGGCTGTAGAGTAGAGTATCCGACGATATGCGACATGAAGTGTGGTAGATCTAGATGAATGAATATATAGATTGATCGATGAGTTTATAGTAAAGAGGAGTAATAGTAATATGTTCACGATCATTTGAACACTTTGTATTGAAATCGGTATTATGAATGAGTGTCCTTGGATATGATGGAAATTCATGATTTAAATTTACTACAAAATCACTTTAAAATAATCATTTCTATATTTTGAGAAAATAAATTAATCCTTTTGATCAATTATTATATAAATATTTAAAAAAAAATTGCAATAGTTTATTTCTAAATATTTTCGTTAAACAAATATTTAAGATTTTATAAAAAAATTTAAATTTATACATAAATCTTATATAAATACAAAATTGAAAAGTTTAAAATTATAGATTTTAATGCAATCAATTATTAAAAATCTGAAATTTTCAAAATGTATTTATAATTATATAATGAATATATAATTCAAATTTGATCAAATTATATTCATTTGTTGTAAAGTTATTAATAAGTGAAAATAATAATTTTTGAAATAAAAAAATGATACAAAAAAGAAATAATCTAAAAATAAAATACTAGACTTATAATCTTTAATATATTTAATACTAATTTTATATTATTTCATCTTCAATTTCACTCTTTATTATCTATATCATTCACTTGAAAATTCCCAATCTATAAAAAAAGAATAAACATTTCCTTAACTATAAATTCGCACTCACTCACTCACCAACTCACTGCCCATCAAAAAACAAACCCACAAACCTACAACCACCACCACCAAACAATTCCACTCCTTCTTTTCCGCTCTTCCTTCCACCCACCCCTCTATTCCAAAAACGCCAATGCTATGCACGAAGATCAAACAAATTCTCCTCTTCGCTTAATTTTTCCTTTGCTACTCACCAAGCACTCAGCACCCACCACCAACCAACAAGATCTCCCTCAAAGACATTCCCTCAAATCCCTTGCACCTTCCTATAACTGGGTGGTTTAATTGTCCTCCTGATTAATTTCCCAACATAGGGCGGAATGAGCGAAACAGCTGAAATAGCCGCGACTCTCCAAACAAAGCCCCTATAAAATCATTAGTTACAGTTATCCACATTCATCAAAAAGTTTCTCGAAGTAGTCATGTAAAACTAGAAAGCACAGTTTGAGTATCACAAAACTCACCAGGTAAGAATAAATCCCAAATCAAAGTATCCTCCCAGGAAAGGAATACTGCCCAGATACAAAAACAGAGTACCAATCAAACTAACAATCATAACCGGATGCCAAGTCGTTATTTCGAAGGCCACCATTGTAAGTTCATTAAGAACCAAGACTGTAAAGCTAACAGCTACCATTCTAGGTCCATCGACTTCCGTAAGTATTTGTGAAAGACCTTGGATCATACCACCTTGATAAATAGATACAAAGACCCAAACGAAGAATGTACGATAAGAGAGTGAAGAGCCGGATGTAAGTTCCTTGTAGAGTTCCGGGTAGAGATTGGCGAGATTTTCATCGACGTCTTTATCGAGGACTAAAGAAAAGACAGGCGCCATGGTATAAACGGTTGCATATCCGACGAGGAGCCAATCTTTGTATAAGCCTTCCGGTTCGAATTTAATGGCGATGCTATACATTGTTTGACAAACACTGATGATTAGACCTCTATGAATAACGAATTGAGCGAGTTTGGCACTGCGCTTATAACTGTTACGACCATGCCAGACGAGAAGTTTTGTGAGATGACAAAATTGTTCGATGGAGAAATCGGCTGCCAGACTAGCTTGTCGACCTTCTTTTCCAACAATACCTACACCAACATCTGCGGCTTGAATCATAGAAACATCATTTCCACCATCTCCAATACAACAAACACGTTTTTTGGTATATTCTCGAATAAGTTTGGCGACATCAGCTTTTTGAGTTGGAGAACATCGACATGCAACGACTGCTGGAAGAAGAACTGCCAAAGAGATGAATTCGTTGCGGAAATGTGTTAAAAGTAAAGCTAAGCTCTCTCCATCGACGAGTAGACATGCGTCAGTTTTACCACGAAGAAAGTCGAGATGATCTTGAGCGTTGTCTTTGCGTTTCAGTTTGTCGATGGTATGGATATATTGACCTCTGGCTACTAACTTGGCACTGACAGCAACACAACGAGCAGTTTCGACTTTATCACCTGTCAACATCCAAATTTTGATACCCGCATTTCGTAATAATTCCAAAGATGGTTTAACATCTCTTTGAAGCTTATCCTCAACACCGGTTACACCTAAAAGTTCGAGATCTTTTTCGAGGTAATGTGAAACGACACGGGCCATACCGGCATCTCGATTGTTGATAGAAACCGAAGCTTCTTTATAGCTTTGAGAAAAGTCATTGTAGTTTTGAACTGACATCTTTTTTCTTCCAACAACCAAAGTACGGAGACCTTCTCTAGCCATATTTGCAGTTTCTTCATCAAGCCAATCATTTGCAGCAACAATCGAAGTCATAACGGTATCTGCACCTTTTTGATAGAACCAAATCTCTCCAGCTTCAAGATTGCTGCTAGAAGATGTTTCCGAACCATCAAGGAATTGAACAATGATACCCATACGTTTTCCTTCCGAAGTAAATGGGAAAATTTCAAGGATACGAACACGAACAACAGAACGACCTGTATCTACCGATTGTAGAAGCATTCCTTTTCTATCACGGTGAACTAATCTTAAACCAACAGCTTCTGTCCATTTAACAATCGCAATCTCATCTGGTGAAGAAGCTTGATAAGATGCTACTTCCTGACCATCTATTTCCTCGATAGTTGGAGTAACATTGTGGCAAAGGGCAAGGGCGAGAACTACATCACGCACACGTGATCCTATTTCCCTTCGTGTACGAGTGGCGGTGATAGTAGCTGAAGCGACAGAAGAAGGTGTAACAAGTACTGAAGATTGATTGGCATCTACCGGGACTGAAAATCCTTGCTTGACATAGGAAGCCACTTCATCCATTGCTTCATTTGCATATGAGACAGTTCCAACGTGAATTTTCTTCATTTCCATTTCATTCTGTGTGAGTGTTCCAGTTTTGTCACTGAGTAAATATTCAATTCGACCAAGTTCTTCAGGTATAGTACTTGTGCGGACGACAGCTCCTTCAATCCCTGGATCTCGTTGAATAAACCAAGAGTAAACACTCTTCCCCATGTCCAGGTTGACACGAAGACTGATAGGGACAATGGTAGAAAACAATACCAAGAATCTCATAATTTTAACATACCATTTGACGCCTTCAACATGTTCGAAACCTTCCAATGCTACAAGTACAATAGATAATGTAAGTGTCAAAGCGCAAAGAATCTTGGTGAGAGAGTTGATCTCATTTTCTAAGAGGCCGGTCTTTGATCGAGATGGAGATGTGGAAAGTGCTGATCGAGTTTGAGGCCCAGTATAAATGATTACAGCCAAAGTAGTAGCACTTGATGCAAGAACAGTGTTAGCCCAAGCGGTATTGTCAATCGTTAAAGGTGCTGAATCTCCACTATGCTCATCATCTGGATTCCCTCCTTTCGGCAAATGTGGATCGTATCCATCATTGCCTTTTGGAAGAAGGCTAACGGTTCCGACGAACTCATTAACCTTTTTATCAGGTTTCCCAGCTACAACATGAAGACGTACGAACTCCGATGGATCAAGAGATTGTGTTAGAGGAGAACCCAATCTTAACTTCCAATCCGTCTCACCATCCAATTGATCAGTTCGAATAAAAGTTTCACCGGCACCAGCAGCATCGGCAGAAGGTGTATTTCTAAGTTGAGATGTTGACTCTCGAGCTTCTGAAGTAGTAGCTGTAGATTGATCAATCGAAGGTTCAGATATCGGATCCACCAGTAAAGTCTCGGAAGGTTCAGCAATATTGGTCACAGCAGGTTCGTGTGATACTGCAGCTGAAGATTCATTGGCTGTACTTCTCAGAATAACGACATCCGCAGGAACTCTTTGATCCTTCCCTAATTTCAAAACATCTCCAACTTTTAAATCTCGGGATTTTCGGATCACTTCACGTACACTCGAACTTGGTGCATCTCTTCCCTGACTTTCTGCATTCTCCTCCTCCTCTTGTATATCCGATAATCGATCCGGCTGAACAAGAGGTCTTCCTTTCTTCACTTTCCCCTTGGACTTTAACTTCTTCCGTGCACTATATTTGGCTGCGTCCGCTATTGATGGTTTATCGAAACATAGGACAGTGTATCCTTCGGAATTCGCCTCGGCATCTCGTTTTCGCCTAGCAACATCGTCAAAAGCCTCCTTTCCCAAGGTGATCGCTAAAACAAATAGTAAAGGTACAATATATGTTGAAAGGTATCCAATTCGCAGAGGTGGTATTGCCTGAGATAAAGCGACGAGTAAAAAGTACATGTTGAAGAAGAAAGAAAATTCGTTATACAGAGTTCGTGGTAAAAAGCTGATAGGGGTATATTTCGCATTCGAGACGGCATTAGGAGGGAAGCGTGAAGTTTGTGTAGCACCAACTTGTACCGTCCTAGATGAAGCTGGATCATGGTCGTCATCTTGTTCTTCTCCCTCTTCTGACGGTGGCTGCGGTGTGTTTCCCGATAGGAAGCTTGGGAGTCGAATCTGCGACGAAATAGTCTTTACCTTGTCGAAGCTTGACCGACGTCGTCTTTGGGAACCTTCACCTCCTTCCCCAGGTAATAACGGTGCATCGTCGTCTGCAGCATTCGAACCTCCTCCTGATGTTCCGTCCATCCCATCCCCCCCAAAATCGTCATTTAGTAAACCTCGCAGATCTTCACTATCTGTATCAACATCCCTGTTTCTTCCTAAATCACCATATCCTCTATTTCTTCCAAAATTCCGCAGACCACCCATACGCAGATTTCTTAGAGGGATATGAGGACCTCTTCTCTCTTCTCTTGAAAAATTTTGATTGCGTGAAGACGAAGTGGAAGATTTTGAGGTCGGAGAAGTTATTGGATCCAGTTCCTGCAAGTCCAGCTCAAGGTCGGAATCCGCATCATCCACAGGAGAATCTGGTGGATTTGGTTGATGATATGCAGAACTTGAAGACATACCTCATTGATGCGGTTGAAAGTGCGATCATAAAACCAGGGTTGAAATGAATTAGGTAATTTTTATGAACTGGGGGAAAAGAGAATTATTGCTTTTTCTATTGTGATAGATATTATTTTATGAAAAAGGGCTCAGCCATGAAGTCAACGTCGTCAATAGTAATAATTAAAGTTACAAAGTTACAGCACCATTAGGTATGGTAGCCTCGTCCCTGCGGAGTCGATTGTTGGAATTTCTAGGATGTAACAGTTTAACGGTACAGAGTAATCCATGCAGGCGTGATAACATTTAGCTAAGGAAGTGACAATAGCATTTCAAAAGGTTCTTCTCTTCAATCAATAATGATACATGTATAGATAGATCTTTGACCATGGATAGAAATAATTCATAAAATATCATATGTAATAGACGTGTAAACCATTAGCACTATTGCCTAGCATTGTATCCATCACGGAACATCTTCATATGCTCGCATCATTCATCATTAGCTTATCACTTCTCCGTACTAGGCATGTCTCACCGAAGGTTAGTGCTCTCCAATGTGATGAGATTCAACAGCTGGTATTACTTTGACATCAATCCAGAAAGTCTGAAAAGGTTATTTGATTAATCGTCGGCATTCAATGAGAACGGGAAATGGGAAAACTACTTTAGCCTAGAGGACCATCCATATCTTTCTTTCATTGTCCAATCTAAATGGTCATATTAGGAACAACTTGTCATCTTCGATTGTGCGTGTTCGGCTTTCTCTTCCTGTCGCGAATGTACCCAACCTTGTCGCGGGATTGAATACTACCTACTAGATAGCAAAATCTCAGCCTTCTCCGCCTCACAAGCCAGGTCGCCTCACTGGATTGGAACTTCTTGACCTTGAGAAATAGTCCGAGTCCTTTGAGAACTCCCACGTTACGAAACCTTACTTACTCTTCCCATCCATATCGGCGCTTGATTAACTGTTCTCTTTACTTCTCCATAAAAAAGAAAAGTGCACCCTTTGTAGTTATGAATCAAGTTCCTGTCAAAAATATACCATTGTTTTAATTGGATTTTGTTCTTTAGCGGAAAGAGATTCTCAACTCTATATGTGAGTTTTGACTACCTATCATTGACTTTGATATTCACAATATATCTCTACGTTTTTGATACCTTTGCTCATACAGCATTATTCGGACTTGATGGTGCATGCATGCCATGTATAATCAATACTTGTACATTTACTAATGTCTCCAGTATAGCATCCAGTTCTTCTTTTCTAGGATACAAGAATAGCGATGCCATCGGAATCAGGGAATCAATCATGGCATCCAGCATTTATGCCAAATGCCACCGCAGATATAATTACCACGAAACCTTCCCCAATACCGATCGCAGATGTGGAACCGGCCAGTGACCATGAGCTTTCGAACCCTCTGTCAGCCACTAGGGAAGAGCCAACAGTTGGACATAATACAACATTCAATGAGGGAAGGGATTTAGATGTAGAAGAGGATGGACTGGGAGACGACAATACAGAACATCCTGAATTATCCGATCTGCGAAATGCGCTCACTTCATCATTGGAAAGTCCGGGAGGTGTAGAAATGGATGAAAGTCCATCGCATGAAGGAATAGAAACACCCGTCGCTCAGGAAGATAAAGCAGATTTTCCAACAACCGGGCCTTCGAACGATAGTAAGCACATTAGCACGGATTCCTTTGCGAGAACATCGCATGAAGTAAGTTGGGGTGAGGATGATGAGGTAGACTCGGAGTGGAATCTATCGCGCACAAATACAGACCCTTTCAAGATGATGCCCAAATCCGATCGAACGAACTCTTTCCCCGTGGTACCTCCTTCTCACGAGCAAGAAACTTTACACACTATACCGCATTCTCAAGCTGAGGATATTATGAATGAGATGGAACAGTCACCACGTAATGGGTCCTTCGATGAGGCGCATGATGGTGAACGAGATTTCTCTACGCAACACAATCTGGGTGACGCTTTTGATAAAATTCCGCATGATGTTCAGGAAACACAAGCTGGATCGGAATCTGGAGATTCACCGGATTATGGTCAATCTTATGGAGGAGATGTCAAGCAAGAAGAAGATGAGGAGTCTCGCGCACGATTTGAGGAAGGAATTCCTCTAGTTCAGTCTACTGATCAAGCGCAAACTGGCACAGATCACTCCATCCTTCCAAATAATGAACATAATCCTGGAGAAGAGAACGACTTTTTTGCTCAAGTTGGTATATCAGCTCCTCAGGAATTAGATGTAGGTCAAGCTTCACTGGAAAGAAAATCAACTATGCAAGTCATGGATTCACTACAGTTCCAACAAGGCGACCGAACGATAGAGGCGACGCCAGAGCTTTCAGAAAGTCAGGATGATTCCCCGGACCCAGTTAGGGATAATGTGAATATCCCGAAAAATGCACTCGATGATGTATTCGACGGCCCTGATTCCGAGTTTCCGGCAAATTTAGGCGAGGGGACTGAGGAGGCGACTGGCAAGGCTAGCAGTGAGGATTTAGCCGCGAAATGGCAAGCAGCATTGGACGACGAGTTTCTAGACGATGACGACGAGCTCTTACCAGATGATGACGAGGAAACTGAAAATAAGGCTGTCGATCCAGCCGCCTTTTTCGGGAGCGATGATGAAGGATTTTTAGATGACACTAATGATGCCACTAATTCGGACATCAATGGCTCTATTGGTCACGTGGCTGGATTCGATGCTCCTGAAGCAAAACCAAGAAGTACGAGCAATCGATATATTCCGGCAGGGGCAGCTCCGACAGTTCAACCGCAGACTAACAATTCTTTTGCTCCAGCGGCACCTTTCTTGACTGATCTTTCCAGATCAAACACGACTCCGGAAACTTCTTTGCCATTCAACCCTGCAGTCGCCATGGGAAATTACCCAGTCCAACAGCAGCAACGTCCAGAATTACCTAAAGCTCAAAGTTTTGCCGATAAAGCGAAAGGAGGATATGCATCTCCTTATGATTTGCCAATGGAGGTTGTAAAACCTCGTAAACGTGTAAGCACGAATCAAATGAATCGTGGATATAACGCATCAGCTCCGCCCAGAGCCAGCAGTATGAATATTCCACCACCAAGTGCATATCCTCCTCAGCAACAACAGAAACCTGCGGTGAACATTTCCCCAGTTGTATCAAATACTCAGAAACCAAAATCCGGTGCAGATAGTGGTTTCTTCGAGGATCTCCCTATCCTTTCCAGACCCAAAGTCGCTCCTAGACATCAAACCACTCCTGCTCCCGCATCGTCGCTGTATATCCCGACTGTGACTACCGGACCTCAACAAAACTATGCACCAATTTCTGGCCAACCATATTCGGCCCCAATTCATCAAGAAGCCACTATGCGAGAAACCCCCTCCCTGCAGCCACCAATGCAATCCCCACCAATGGTGCAAGGCTTGGTCTCCCCTGAGCGTGTGAATCCTTATGCTCCTATTCCATCTGCAGGCCAACAGTTGCCAACCACTGTACCTTCTGTAACATCACGTTATTCTCCAGCGCCACCACCACTACATCATTCAGCTAGTGCTCCAGCTCCTGTCACACTATCCCGATACTCCCCTGCTCCTTCTCAACCACGCTCGCATTACGCTCCACAATCTTCAGCGCATCTTCAATCACCTCCACAATCAATATTGCCACATTTGCCTCGGACTTCGAGTCCCTTGGCTCATTTTGAGAGGAGTCAAGATGGTCGTGGGCATGGTGCTGGTGGAGAGATACCAAATTACGAACGCCGTAGTTCATCAGGGTACGAGCCAAGTCTGAGAGCACATCCACTTCCGCCAACGAGAGAAGTTGATGAAAATGATGGTAGCGTGCCACATACCCCAGTTTTTAGTGAACATCCGAAGTCGTTTAGTTCATCCGCGCAGGGAATAAATTCTGTTTCTCAGACTTCTCCTAGTTCAAGTATTGCTGCTCGTATGGGGAGATCACCACCTAAACGAGCAGGGTCGACACTATACACGTCACTACACCCTTCCAATACTCTTAGTCCAGCTCAAATTCATGGCTTCGTTCCACCACCAAGATCTCATACACAATCTCCTGGTAGAGCTTTCGGTGGCTCTCGACTTGAAATGAGTATTCCTGAGCCATTGCAAAGGCCTGCTTCTATTGAAGCTCTATCTTCTAGGAATGCAGCTGCCTTTACACCTAGCCAACCGATGTTTCATGCTCCTAAACGTTTGAGGGCGCCTTCCTTGACCAATTATGTCGCTCCTACAGATGGACGGGAACATGATTCTTTACAAAGATGGAAGGGTTGTCCTGTTTTTACTTGGGGTGTCGGAGGTACCATGATTACATCTTTCCCCGTAGATGTACCGAGGTATGGTATGACTTCAACAACACCTATGGTTGTTAGAAGTCCTGGAGAAGTAAAGGTTCGCAATGTCAAGGATCTTGATCCACTAGAAAGCAGATTGACGAGCTTCCCTGGACCATTAAAGGGCAAGGCAAAGAAAAAGGAAGTTCTTAGTTGGTTGGCCTCCGGTATTGAGATCTTGGAACAAAGTGCATCTTATTTGAGGTCCATCCGAGTTTTGTCTCACGATGACAAACGTACTGAAGAACGCTTACTGTTATGGAAGATCTTGCATGTCTTTATCGAGAATGATGGAATTCTAGAAGGAAATCCTAGTGTCGAAAAAGCTGTTAGGGCTGTCCTTTCCCCAGGTATCGATGATGAGGTTGGACAAGAATCACCTTTATATGCAACTGGAGCGGACCTTACGGGAATCTCATCATCATCAACAACACTAACACGGGCTGATCCTGTCGATCCTGCTGCTGTAGATCAAATCAGAAAGCATCTATTAAGGGGCGAACGAGAGAAAGCTGTGTGGGAAGCTGTTGATAAACGACTCTGGGCACATGCAATGTTGATCTCAAACACAGTATCGAAAGAGCTTTATAAGCAAGTTGCCCAAGAATTCGTACAAAAAGAAGTCAAGAATGTCGGTGATAACACTGAACCTCTTGCCGCCTTGTACGAGATATTTGCTGGTAATTTCGAAGAGAGTATAGATGAGCTTGTACCTCCATCTGCTCGTGCTGGTTTCCAAATGGTCAGCACATCTACATCATTAAGTCCTTCGAAAGATGCACTTGAAGGTCTTGATAGATGGCGTGAGACTCTTGGTCTTGTTCTCAGTAACCGAAGTACAGATGATACTAAGGCTTTGGCTGCTTTGGGAAAGCTTCTTTCCGGTTATGGTAGAGCTGAAGCTGCACATATTTGTTACTTGTTCGCAAGGAATTCATCTGTATTTGGTGGTATTGATGATCCAAGTACAAACATGGTTCTCATCGGTTCTGATCATTTGAGGCAGCCTTTTGATTTCGATAGGGAATTGGAACCAGTACTTTTGAGTGAAGTATACGAATATGGTTTATCGCTGTCAAATGTTTCCAGTATCGTAACATCTAATCCACATTTGGCGGTTTACAAGTTACACCACGCTGCAGTTCTGGCGGAGTATGGGCATCGACAGAAGGCTTTAGAATACTGTGAGAGTATTGCTTCGACCATTACTTCTCAAACAAGACGATCACCATATCATCATGCTCAATTAGTTTCATCACTTGATGACCTTAGCAAGAGATTGAAATCATCACCAAAAGATGAAAATGGTTCCTGGATTTCAAAACCTAGCATTGATAAAGTATCCGGTTCTGTATGGGCAACGTTCAATAAGTTTGTTGCTGGTGATGAACAAGATACTACTGATGCTATGTCAAATGCTGAGAGTTCCGCTGATGTTGGTCCATTCGCACGCATTGCTGGTGGCACTCCAACTATAAGTCGATCACCATCTGTTGCTGATATCTATGGTAGCTCTTACAATGGAGGAGGAGCTTTGGGTATTAATGGAATTTTATCACCAGCTCCACAAACGAAAGCTTCTTCAAGATACGCTCCAGGTTCTACATATACTCCCCAAGGTTCATATGAACCACCAAGCTCTTCACATGGTTCTCAACCCCGAGCTTCATTTGAAGGGGGTAGAACATCAGGCGAGTTCCGTCGCAATCTACATGAACCACAAAGACAAATGTCTTCAGAAATTCGGCCAATCTCACAACAATACAATCAAGCTTCCAGCTTCACACCTCAAAGTGCTGGCTACAGTCCATATACTAGAAGTGATTCTCCTTATACACCACAAACTAGTTCAATGGAAACTCCGTCAGCTCCTTTCGAGTTACCTCAGCCTATAAGTTATGATGGACAACAAACATTTCAACCACATATGGCAAACCACGAATCACCTGGTAGTGGATACGAAACACCAACTGGAAATTCTTATGAGCCACCTTCATCAAACACAGGATATGAACCACCGTCATATGAACCTAATTCTATGGAACAACCCGATTCACCTATAAGCACAAAGCCAAAGAGCTTTATGGGTGATGACGATGATGATATACCTGCATTAAAGGCACGTACAGAGACTACACGGGAAAAGACCAAAGCGGAAAAAGATCGGGAAGCTGATGAAGCTTTCCGAAAAGCTGCTGAAGCTGATGGTGAGAATATCCTCGATTCTATTCTTCACAATAATGCTAATTCCTTTCTAGCCGCGAAAGATAAAAAACCCGCTCCTCAAAAGAAAGGTTGGGGTCTTGGTTGGTTTGGAGGGGGTAAAAAAGAAGCTTCTACCACCGAGTCGACACAGGAGAAGAAAGCGATTAGAGCTAAGCTAGGTGAAGAAAGTAGTTTCGTTTATGATCCTGACCTTAAGCGGTGGATCAACAAAAAAGCAGGTGCAGAAAATATACCTTCTCCATCAGCAACTCCACCACCACCAAGAGCTACAGGTCCACCTAGATCATCTAGCGGTACCGTAATCTCAAGCGCAGCAGGTAACCTAAGTATGCCTCCCCGATCCGTAAGCTCCGCAAGTGCACCGCCTCAAAGAGCACTTAGCGGATCTAGCGATAGCGGGGTGACGGTTGATGGATTAGTTAAACCACCCGTGGGACCTGCAATGGCTAGGACACAGAGTAATGGAAGCGCAATGGGTGGTAATTTGAGTGGATTAACTAGTACAGGGAGTGCTCCGCCCAGTAGACCAAATACTAGTATGAGTAATGCGTCGAGTATTGATGATTTATTGGGTCCTCCTAGTGCGGGAGGTAGAAAGGGAACGGCCAAGAAGGGAAGGAAGGGTAGGGGGTATATTGATGTTATGGGTGATAAAGCGGGCGGAAGTAGTGGGTGATAAGGCGGGTGGAAGTAGTGGGAGTTTGGGTTAGTGGTGTGAGGTGTGAGGTATGAGGTATGAGGTGCGTGGTGAATGGATTGGTGTGAGAGGTGAGGGCGGAGGGATGGAGGGTGTATTATAAATGCTTATTGGCTAAGAGAAACGCGAAGATGGGAATAAACGAATTGTAATTTTTGTATGAAAGTATGAAAGTAGTGTTATGATATATGATAGACTGATTGCTGGAGACGCACTACTAGAAAGGATGAATGTGAATAAAGGGATAGATGGGTTGAATGATTGATTAATCGATCAGCGATGGGGATTAAGTACTTGTTAAGTTCAGATGGATTAATATAACGGTTCCTGGGAATGATTATTTATTATTTATTATTTATCATTGATTTGGTCTTTTATAAATTATTTGTTATAAATCCTATAGGATATCGTCTCGAGCGTCTACTGAGTGTTTGATGGGGATTTGATACTTGCTGCTTGCTACTTGCTACTTGTCAGCTGGGTTTATGTATATAGGTTAGATATTCTTTAATTGAGGATTTGTTGCGGTTAGGGTTGTGAAAAGATAGAGTATGGTTGGTTGGTTGGTTTGTGCTTCTAGCTTGCGGATATGTATGTGAAATGTTTTCTCAGTTTTTGGTTAAATTGTAATTATACTCTCTGGGTTGAGAAGCTGGTGAGTTTTGATGCACATATGTAATTTATCCAAACACGCGGAAAGGCTCACCGGGAGCGGGGTAAATTCTCTTCAGTCGGCGAGATACGTCAGAAATAGCGAACTGGAAAATTAATCAAATCTTTTGTTTACTTTTTGTAACTCCTACCATTATCATTCTCCCGACAACTCAATTGAAGACTGATTGAAGTCGATGCTCGTCAATGCTTCGCAGTGTGCCTTCAAGGTCCAGATACTTACGGCACAATGTCATTCAACGCAGACTTAATACAATTGTCTGTCGAGAGGCAATTGCTTCAAGGGTTCGACCTACCGTTTCTGTGATATCGTCTCGTCGGCCTAAATGTTTCAAGAAGTGTTTGCATACGCAAACAGAACCTTCAGTTGGATTCACAGATGATACAATATATGCACTTTCAACAGCACCCGGTAGAGCCGGTATAGCTATCATACGCATTTCTGGCTCTGCGTGTCTCGATGTATGATAGATTTCTTCAACCTTACAAGCTTTCGATATTGACTATGCTAGATTTATCAAAGCTTGTGCCCATCGAAACTGATTCCCAAACCACGATATGCGGCTGTAAGAACACTCTATGAGCCATTGACGCCGACTCTAAACATTCTCGACTCCGACGCTTTAGTTCTTTATTTTCCCGCTCCGAAGACTGTTACTGGAGAAGATGTACTAGAGTTACATGTACATGGAGGTACAGCTACAGTCAAAGCAGTCCTAAGCGCAATTCCACGATGTACATCGCCAGCGAAAATTCGATATGCCGAGCCTGGAGAATTCACACGTCGAGCTTTTCAGAATAATAGATTGGATTTAGCGCAAGTGGAAGCATTGAGTGATACATTATCTGCAGAGACGGAACAACAACGTCGTGCTGCTGTGCGAGGAAATTCTGGAAATCTTGGTCGTACATATGAAGCATGGCGGCAACAATTATTGTATGCGCGTGGAGAATTGGAGGCTTTGATTGATTTTTCCGAGGATCAACATTTTGATGAATCGCCTGCGGAATTATTATGGAACGTTACAGCTCAAGTTGAGGTTATGTTGGAATCAATTGCCGCGCATGAGTCAGCGAGTCATCGGGGTGAATTACTCAAAAAGGGAATTAGGATTTCTTTATTAGGGCCACCTAATGCTGGCAAAAGTTCTCTTTTAAATCAAATCGTCGGTAGAGAAGCTTCAATTGTCAGTCAAGAAGCCGGAACTACTCGAGATATTGTGGAAGTTAGTTTGGATATTCGTGGGTACCTTTGCACTTTTGCGGATACCGCCGGCTTGAGGACTCGAGTTTCACAAAGTGGAAGTGGCAAGAATGACTCAATAATCGGGCATATCGAACAAGAAGGTATTCGAAGAGCGAAAGCGAAGGCAAATGAGTCAGATGTCGTTATTGCCCTTGCCAGTATAGAATGGTCAGATATTCGAAACGGATGGGAAATTCGTTACGATATGGAAACATTCGAAATAGCGGCTCAGGCTCCCAAATCCATGATTGTTGTTAATAAATCTGATTCGGTCACCCTTGAGATACTGTCAGAACTTATAAACGACTTCAAAAAGTCTCAAATAGACATACTTAGTCAAGATGTCGTTCCAGTAATGACAATATCATGTAAAAATGCCCAAGCATCATCAAGTCAAGGAAGTATTGGTCACTTTATCGACGAAATGGTCAATATATTCAAAAATATGACATCTCTACCAACGGACCTCGAGGATTTACTAGGAGTTACTGAACGTCAGCGTCAACTTCTTACCGCTTGCTCAGCCCATCTATTAGATTTCACGAATGAAGCTCAGCAGCATGTAGATCATGAAGGAGATGTCGATATCGTTTTGGCGGCTGAGTATCTTAGAGCTGCTGCTAATTGTTTATCGCGGATTACGGGGAGGGGTGAAGCGGGTGATGTTGAGGAGGTTCTTGGGGTGGTTTTTGAAAAGTAAGTTGATTTTCCTTTTTTTTCGGGTTTGTGGGGGAGGGGAGGGGAGAGAAAGTGTGGTGGGAGGTTTGGACTTGTTTTGTATGTGTATCGTGGACTGACTTTTTCATCTCCTTTTTGTAGGTTTTGTGTTGGTAAGTAGTTTGGATGTTTGTAGGATTGTAGGATTGTTGAATTGTTGGATGAGATGTGATGGGGTTGGGATTGAGGAGGTCTGGCTTGGAATTGGGAATGGGATTCGAATTGGCATTCATGATGATGATAGAGTTTCACGAGGTAGATGGATAAATTAGAAAGTTAAGATAGAGATGAACATATAATGGTAGATTGACCGTTCATTTACTTTTTCATCTACTTGCTCATGCGTTATGCTATGTAATGTTATATCATGTTAAAACCCCCCTCTCTCTGTTAATAGCATGCTAATAATACAAAAATGTGTAAATGGTAGAAAGAGAAGAAGAAAAAGAGAAGAAAAGAAGAAAAGATATCCGATCTATCCAATGTCATGCATGTAATACAACCAATATTCAACACCCCCAAAAATGCCATGAATGGAAAGTAATACGTATTATACGAAAATGAAAATGAAAAAGAAAAAGAAAAGAAAAGAAAAGAAAAGAAAAGAAAAGAAAGAAAATGCGCTCAGATCGTAAGGTTAACTCCGGATCCTCAAACCTCAAGTCTCATTGCAAAGTCTCGAAATCCCTAGATTGAAAGTCGAAAGGCGAATTCGTAGTCCCGTGAGGTGGGTAGGTAGGTAGGTAGGTAAGGTAGGTTACTATCCATATCTATCGGGAGAAGAAGGTTGGTTTGATTTGAGTTGAGGTTACCTAACCGAGGGAGGATTGAGCTGTGTTTGTTGTGTTGAGTTGTTTTGTGATGAAAAGAGAGGGAATGAAGTCGTTGAAAATCGTGAATCTTTTCTTTTCTTTTCTTTGGTGAAGATGTGACGATGTGATGATGATGAAATAATAAACTCCGATGTATGTATGCTGAGAAATTCTATGATGCGATGCGATGCGATGCGAGACGAGACGAGACAAGACGATCTATGCGAAAGAAGAGAGTAGAGAAACCGAATGAAAACCGAATATAAATCCGCGAGGATGAAAGTTATCTTTGTGTTTTATGTTGGATGTGGTGCTTGATGGATGCTTGGTTGATTGATTGAATGGAAAAGGCAAAAGCGAAAAACTCCGTAGAAATGCAATGCTATGCTATGCTTATGCTGGTCGTGAGACCTTGGAATTGTATTGTATGTATGTATAAGAGGAAATGGTACTGTGCTGTGCTGTGCTGTGCTGTGCTGTGCTGTTCTGTTCTGTTGTTGCCAATTTGGAAATCTATTGTTTTGAATTGTTGATAAGGAAGTGATGTGGTGATGTGATGCGATGATGTGATGCGATGCGGATATGATATGTATGATGCGATGAAACGGTAAAGTAAACCTTAACCTTAATCTTAACCGAACCTTCACTGCAACATCCATCTCATCTATAGACCATTGGACTTTATTTAACCTTAGTTTCGACACCATAGCCGTAGGTATAATATCAAACCCCCAAGTTTACAAGTCTCCGCATCGCAATCGTGAGAAATAAAGGAAGAAAGAAAGAAAGAAAGAAAGAAAGAGCAATGGATATTTAGTTATATCCACCTCTTCCATCTTCTTCCTCATCGTCATCTCCACGTCGAAGATGTAGTGGAGAGTTGGAAATGGAAATGCAGATGAGGGGACGGGAATTATCTTCTTCGTCGTCGCTTTTGTTGGGGCCGTTGTAGCCTCCGCGGCCGAAGTTGAGGGGCGGGGTGATTGGAGAGGTGCTGTTGCTTCTGGATGTGCTGGTGAAGGTTTGAGCGGCCATTTTGGTGGTTGATGTTGATGTTTGAGGTGGTTTGTTGGTTGTGGTTTGGTTGTTGAGGTTGATATTGGTTATATGTCTCGACTGAATAGATGATATATATCGAAGAGCGTTTGATAGATAGTGAGTAAAAGAAGACTATATGAGGAGATACTAAAGAGGTTTTATATCCTATAGAATAGTATTGTATGTAATAATCAAAAACCGATGAAGAAAAACTCTCAACCCAGGAAACCACCCCCCTCTATATACTTTCCCATCTCCCTCCTCCATGCATGCAGAAATATCAGTCAGTATGGCAATAGCACTCTAGCATGCATCCCAAATACTCAAAAACTCATCATGACGACAATGCCTCACCTCATCCTCTTCAAGCCAGCCCCAGTTAGTTTACTTAGCAGCTTTAGGAATATGAGATGCTAGGTCTGGAAATCCATGCCATGACATTCATGGAATCCATGAATCCATGAATTCTAACTGTGCGTTACGCTATGCTATGCCACGCTATACTACTACGCTAGCACAAAATAAATCGTCTTAAACAATTAATATGAAGATGATGGATGTTGCTACCTACCTATCTACCTACCTACCGGGGGGCTGTGAATAACATACAGTATACCTATATAAGTAAGGTCACAGTAATCTCGTCAGAAAAAAATAATCTCAAATAAGAAAGATAAGAAGAGAGGTAGGTACTAAGATGCTAAGAAATGGAGTAATAAACATACAAATTCAATAGAATAATAATAATAATAATAATAATAATAATAATAATAATAATAATAATACCATAATCAAAATCAAAATCAAAATCAAAATCAAAAATCCTGACAAATCTCAATGCATTCATTCTAACATCCCCGGTTCATTTACGCTCCTTCGAAACTTCTTCTGTTAATTCCCATTATACTAAAATGTTTATGGCCATGGCCATGGTCATAGCTACAAAATGGTTACTCGCCCAAATAATGCCAGTAACTGTCAGTATCGATTAGCTAGCTGCCTGCAATGTCAGACCAGACTCCCCGTTGAAATATTGTAGGTAACCTTACTCGATACCTACCCAGATACTCAGGTTAGGTACCTAGAAGCACAGACATACAGCCTCCCTCACACACTATGTCCACTATGTACACACAGTGCAAAGATCAACCTAGACCTAAATAATGAGTCTATGTGATTCGCATCCCCAAATCTATCTTATGGTCTACAAGTGGAGTTTCCACCAGTGGTAATTCTTACATGTATTTTTAATGGAGCGCGGTCGGTTATCTATCATATTTGTTGTTTATAGATTATATTATATTATATTCCCGGATCCTTCTTGGAATTTGACTGTGTTTGCTTGGTAGGTATTTGGAGTGGGCGGGGATATCTGGGCGCTTTCTTTCTTCTTTTCTTGTAGCTAGGAAGTAAGGTTATGGGAGCTGGAGAATAGCTGATGGCATGTTAGTGTGTTTGTACAGTAGATTATTAGAAGGTGGGTTTATTTAACTGCGCAATTTACTCGAGTAAGTAGCTGTTGTTTTTCGTGGTGGAATTTCTAGTTCTATTGTAGGAGTAGCTAGCTACCTCAGGTATGTATGTGTGTACTCGAGTAATTTGAGATCTCGAGATATGGATGCATATATAGGATTATCTTTCATGGGAAGTATCGTATTCGATTTATCCTCTTAGAACACTTCGGGGCATAATCAAAAGAAAAGATATACAGAAAGTCAACAGCACAATATACATATAAAGTGCCATGCATCTAATCCATCCATCCATCCACCCATCCACCGCTCATCCAAAACACGTTTCCGTCCAGGATTAGATCATGCCATCTTTATTAAAATCTAAATCTTACCTTCTCCCTCTTCCTCCAATCACCCCATTAGAAAAATCATGCCTTAAGGCTACAAGGTTCTAGGCTCACCAATGCACTGGCGTATGTATCTCAGCCCTATGATCTGATCTAAACACAGGGGATATTGACAGGTCAGTTATTTATATCCAGCTCATCATTGCTTGGATAAGAGAGAGAGTGATAGATAGATAGATAGATAGATAGATGTCTGTCTTTTGATCAAACAGTTTGCGGCTTATGGATTATGTATGGATTATGTATATATGTATGTATGGATGATTATTCTGAGCTTTCTCTCTTCATCTTGGGATTTTTGAATATCCTTAAGGTTACCTAAATAGGTAAAGGATGTATGTGACTTACATTGTAGATTCAAAGTTGATCAGCCATGCCCATCCATGCATGTTCTTATTTACGTATTGCTTGGCTTGAACCTGAACACCAAACGGCTCTTGTGATGAAAAGCCATATTCATAAGCGCGAACGTAGTCTATTTTCTATTTTCTAAATCCATCTTAATATATTCCGTACAATGGCTTAAATCTTTAATTAAGTAGCTAACTTCACAAATATTAGATTCTAGTATTTCTAAGCCTCAAATGAAAAGGAACTAAACGATGACCAGGCACAATATTCCATCGAAAACGTTATAAGCTTACTACCATGTGCATCGCTACCAAACTATGTTTCCTTACTCTCAAGAAATTCTGAGCATAATAAAAAAGATGGGGCTCATCCTTACGAACAAAAAGTCATGGTGAATCCATCACATTCACCTCACCGAAGCTCTCAAAGAAGAAGTTGTAATCATGAAGGCTTGGTTTGATATGTGGATCCATCCGTACGTACCTTAAGCTCACTATATATTTAGTGAACCTACGCACAACACACACGCACAGCTCGTCTACAGCATAGTCACCTAAAAGAGAACAAGGATTCCAAGCGCCGTGCTATGACTCCACGAGGAACGGCAAAGGATTCGTATGAACATACCAATGGGAGTCAGGTTAGGATTCCCCGGATCGGGATTTCTAATTTATGGTCATGGTTATGATTATGGAATGCTGATGGTGGGTAGGTAAGGTACATATCTATCCCACGCATACATACATCATCCAAGTATTTTTGTCAATTGGGGGATGATTCCCGAATTAGTCCGGTCTGAGATCAGGTCCGTGTCTTGGGAATTCGAACACCATGTATATGGTAGTCTGAAGTTAATGAATAAGAAACTTACATACACGAGAAGATCTTAGATATAGCTATCTAGGTAGATGGGAGTAGCACTCAATATCTTAACTAGGTAATACCACTAGATCTCGTACACCACAGGCGTTTTACATTAGCTCGCTCATATTTTCATCCGATGTTCTAATTTTCTTACAGCTTCCTCGTGGTCTGGATGCGTTACAGTGCATATGCGCAGCGCATCTCATGCCATGCCATGTGCGCATTCCAAGTTCCCCGACCCCGAGTTCACATCGTTTCAAACCATGACCGAGGTCTGATTGTCATCGATGAATGGTTGGTTGGTTAGATGATGATAAATTTGTCCGATTGGAAAGATGTAAGATGTCGAGTCATTCTAGAATTTTGACTGTACCTGCGTTACGCCTTATGCAT